TATATATATATATATATAGTGCTACAATAAAAATGAATTTCCATTTTCAAAAATGTAGAAAACAAAGAATAACCGTTGAAAAGTTAAAACCGTTTTATTTTCTACTTCGCGCATAGAGTTAAGCAACCCTTTTATACACTGTTCCAACTTCATCCTGAAGATTTTTAGAAATGAAAAATGTCTCATGCTACATTCTGCAAATAATTGATCAAGATGAAATAAATTACTAGAAAAATAATAAAAATTTGTGATGAAATTATTTCATAGAAAAAATCCAATTATTTTCAGCAAAAATAACCTTTTACCACTATTTTTTTTATCAGCGTTACCCTTTCTTGAAATACAACTCCAGTCCAATAACACCCAACGACTAAACTTTTTAAAATAGTCAATATGTTCTATTTCCAAATGTTTTAATTGGTTTTTAAAAAACTTTTCGGCTACTGAATCATCAGTAGGCTGCTGTAGTAACGAACACGGCAGTAGATAATCACATCCATTACAAGCACGAGTATCAGCAAGAGGTTCTGTAAAGATCTTCGATTTCGATAATTTTTTAAGTTGTGACTTTCGAAAACAAAGCTTTTGTGAGCAACAGATGGAAAAATGACGTCATTAGAAAAAGAAGTGAATGAATCATTTAAAGGATTATAATTATGAAAAGTAGCATGACCTGGAAGACTGTTCAATGAGAAAGCACTGATGCTTGATGCTATCTCGTTACGCAAGTGCAAAATTCCTTTGAGATCAATCAATTTTGGAGAAACTACGCGAACAGTTTCATCCAAAAGATAAAGCAATAAACCACTTTCGATCGTACTCTTAAAAAAATTGAAGAAAACTACTTCACTACAGGATTCTGTTCTAAATTATCCTTATCTTAAATATGGTAAAATAAAATACAACACAAAATTCTAATTTTAAAAATTTAATTACTGCAACGTGAAAAGGAAACTTATGACGACTTTAAAATGTTGCAAAACTAACCCCTTTTGCAGTCAGTGCAAGGCAGTACAGCATAACCTGTGTTGTATGCTCTATGTTAGGATTTGATTTGCCACTCTTGAGTTCCATCGGTATTAGTTTTCGCTCACCATTCTGCGCTTTTACCTATAATAAAAAATATTTTTTTCAATTAAAATTTAAAAATCATTTGAATAGACCTTGACTCCATATTACATAATTTGTAACATATCCTTTACAGTGCTATAAATGCGAATATCATAACAGCCCTGCAAAAAACACGTAACCTTTAAAGTACAGTCAAGTTTAGCTGTGAAACCGTAACAAGAACACCAGATAGATTCCTCTATATCTACTACTTCTTCTAACATTAAACCCGTCGGTAAGCAATTGTTTCGGCCTTTTGTTGGAGGCATATGTGTTAATATCCAGTGAGTGATTGTTTTAAGATAGCGGTATAATTTAGATTCAATCTGGAAATAAGGAAAATTGAACTGAACTACGGAATTAAAAAATATTTCATCTTTTGTTGTTGATGAAGATAATGTATGAGTAAAAACAAAAATCTGAAATGACTTCTTCAAGAGAAATGGACAAGACGAAAAGTTGCTCCGCATATCGCCAATGTAATTCTTTTCGCCACAGATCAATTAAACTGCTTTCAGTGACATCAAAATTTGGACGAGTAACTGCGATCTGATAATAATTACATTAGAAATGATCACAAGAAAAAAATTCAAAATATCATCGGTTTGCCAACATCTACATTCCATACGTACTTTTCTCATACTTAAAACAAATGAGTTTTTTTTAATGCAGTAGATGAGTGCTGTCATTCATTAGCAAAGATCAGTGAGATCACTGTGAAAGTGCACTAAAAGCCTGAATCAGTTTTAATGATGTACAATCCCTTTATAATCAATCGCACTTGTGCATATACCTGAAAAAGTTCATGAACAATATTTCCTACTAATATATTATTATTTGAAGCAATTCGGTTTCTGAAGTGATACGAAAGTACTGCTTTACGTCGACAAAATGTTGCTCGAGCAATCATTGTGCAAGGAACAAGAATATTCTGTTCGAGAACAATAACACCAGTTTCCCAGTTTAGCATCAACTCCTAAAACGAGATTTAAATGTTCAAATAGGTTAAGCTTTTTATTCTTTTCTTCGTAACGATAAATATTTATAGAGCTTTTTCAGTTTTCTTAAAGTCACCTACTATCTTCTACAAAAATTGAAGTTCTATCACAATTACAAGAAATATTTTTAAGCTTTATATGCTGAATGTAACTTAAAATTTAAAAAAAAGGATGAAAAAAGTTCAACTATAACCCATTAGAAAAAATGTACCATGTTACCTTTTCATTTCTCGCTTCAGCACCAATAATACGCAAGGAAGAACCGATGCGCACTGGAGTTGAAGCCCAAATTCCTTGAAGTTTCACGCAATATTTTTGCGAAGTTTTTTCACAAATACATTCGAGCATACATTCGTCACTCCCTTCCTCATTAGATATTGAAGTGACACAAGCGTTTATAGTCAAGGCATTGCTAGACTCAAATGGAGCTAGCGATTCTTTTACATCTGCAGAAATAATAATACACAAGTGTTCTTATACTACATCATGCCAACAAATTGCATCAAATTTAAAATTGTAGAGTAAATTACAATTACTTTATAACTATAAATTTCCAAAAAAAATAGTCTGGTCAAAAAATAAATATAAAACACACGAATCATAACCAAATTATCAGTTGTACATTTTAGACTTATTAAAGATTATTTCTCGACCAAAGGCACGATAAGAATTAATTTTACTACTAAACATTACAATATTCGTTTGCATCCCACCAGCCAATAAAAATTATAAATTTTATGGACAGGATTCTTTACTACAAATGTAGCCAAAACTGAATTCTCGAATAATATAGCAAGCAAATCAGCAGTATATGAATAAATGATTAAAAACAAAATAACAACTGTATTCTCACCTCGTTCAGTACAGCTTACTGATAAACGTCTTGGCCGTTTCTTAGGTAGCCCATCACCAGAAATGCATTTAACTTGAGCTTCCGGCAATGCCTCACTGTTAAGTGTTGAATCACTAACTTGAAGTAGAGGATCATTTCGTTTTTGTTTCTCGTGTTTTTCCATCACACAGTTTACTAAACATAAGTAGTGATAAATGATTACTTAAAGTAACATTTAGATTAAACAAGAATGGAAAAGATGACGTAGCAGCGAAAAGTATACAGATAAGCCGATACGTAATCATATGACTAATATTCAAAAGGCTACTTAAAATACTGTGTATTTTATTCTTACGTTGTAGAATATTTAAGAACTCACAATTACGCAGATTCCCCTTGACTACTTTTAACAGCAACTTTGCACATTGAAATATTCTAAAGACTTTTTTTTCTTATCATACAATTTTTTGCTTATTTTTTAAAAATTGCTTAATATTTTAGATCCAAAATATCATTTCATGAGTATGAACGTACTGTTTCTAATTACTAATCATTTTCGAGATCCTCATTCAACTACCTATCGATCAGGTTTCTGAAAATGCGATTAGTTAAACATTTTTTGCCATGCAAGCAGTTATAGCATTGAAAATTCCGTAAAACATGATGAGAGGCAAAAAATTTCAATTTTTCAAATTCAATTTTTTGGCTTTTTGCCAAAATATTTTGTTATACGGTAGTGATTTATATAAAAGCAATCTAAAAGTTGGATGATGAGTCAGTGGTGAGCTTCATGTTAAGCAGTTAAGGCGAGCGTGCTTGATGTTTTTAATTTAAAATTACAGGTATCTTTTTAAGCAAAGCACGTTAATCTCAAACTATTTTGTGTCGTCGCACTCTTTGACGCAAGACTTTAACGTTCGCTGGACTAAGCAGGTTTTCACGTTCAGGTTTCTTAATTTTTGGTTTGTATAATTTGTACATGTAGTTCTTTTTGTTAAATCCAAGCATTAAAGTATGCGAATGTATTTGTTTTTGTATCTTAATATATTTTTGAAATGCTTATCACTACTCTTTTTGAAGTTTATTATTTGTATTTAAGGAATGGGTGATGCGGGTGTGAATAGGAATGAAGGAGAGGAACAGGCGGATGAAGCAATGAAAACAGAAAAAAGTAAAAGTTCGCGTGCGCAACATGCAAGTTTATTTGGGAAAAGTTCGCAAGAAATAACTAATTTATCTAGTGTTGTTGGTCAGTTCTCTCTACTTGTTATTTAGTACTTTCATCACAAAATCTCTTTTAATTTGAAGAACATCTGCAACATCATTTACATTAGTATTACGGCATCAAAATGCTGAATTTTGAGTGCAAGTATTCGGAGCTTGTGATTTTATTTTATTTTTTAAATTATTGACAAAAGTAGAATTGAGCTTAAGTTCGATAATTATGTGATCATTGTAATCATGGTTACAGATAAGATAATTAGTCTGAATGGAATGTATCAGTTTGTATATAATGTTGTGACGTTTTCCTTCATACATCTACTCAGTAGGACTAATAAATTTGCCGTTTTGCATAAACAAATCATTTTGTAGAAAGCGTATCTCCGGAGTACTCTACAGCTCCATCAAGTTCCAATATTTCGCATGATAAGGAATCAGAAAATATAGTGAATAATGTAACAGAACTCAAGCGAGAGAATGTCAGACTTGGTATGTTTGTTCTTGAATTCACTGTCAATATAAATGTTTGAAAGAGAGCTAGGTTGCACCTGGGTCACAGTTGTATCTGTTATGCTCAAAATTTAGGATGGTTATTTTTGTTTTTCTATTATTTTCAAAAACTTTCATTCCTATTTCAATAGAATACCTTTTTTTTTGTTTGTTTGAGAACGATGAATTTTTTTTCCCATTATTTCATATCAGTTTGTTCTTCTGTATTGATTTTCATGTTTCTAGACATATTTTTGTTACTTGTCTAGTGCATTTGAACTATAATGAACTCTACACAAGTTCACATAAATTTTGTTTAGAACATGTTTTGTTTTTGGCGAACGAAGAATTAGATTCTCTTCGGAATAAATTATCCGCATTAAGTAAAGCACAAAAAGAACTGAGGGAAGAAAATGAAAGTTTAATGCGAGACAGAAGTCAACGAGTCAACGCTATGCGAAAAATTGAAGCTGAACGAGATCAAATATATCTTGCTAAAGTATTTTCAACCTTGACCGTTTTCCAGATTTACACTGTTTCTTGTATCTGTTTTGTTTCTTTTATTATTTTCAATAAAATGATAGTAAAAACAATTGGATTCATTGTCATTTAATTGGCGTTGCAGAATGAGTTTGAGAATAAGGCAGAGATGTTACTGCGTCAAAAAGAAGATTATGAAGCAAACATCAATCGTCTTTGTCATGACAAATCGCTTATTGCAAGTACGTTTTCACAAGCAAATTCGTTTCACTCATAAGCCATCGTTCGGTATCATATATTTTATTAGATTTTCACAATATCAACACTATGATTTATTATGTAGTAGCGAAAGATGAATTAAAATTAACAAAGTGAATAAAGTAAGGCTGCATATTTATTTATATATTTGCACTTCATGTATGTTTCATTTATTAGTTGAGTGGGGAATAAAGACACCATAGGGATGTGAACTGGAATACAGTGAAATGATTTTGAAAATACACGCTTAAAATTGAATACATCAATATCACTATGAATTTTTTGATCGTAAATTAAATTTGTATTTTTGCACATCATTCTTAGTCGTCATTTTACTTTCAGATGCCTTGCAGTTAAAAAAAAATGAATTATCAAAGTTGCTGGAAAAAAATGTATTACTAGAAGCAAAAATAAATGAATGTGAAAAACAGAAGCGAATGATTGAGGTCGATTATTAACTCAATCGAATCTTTTATCAGGCTCCGTTGTTCTAATTTTATATAGAATGCGTTGATTTTTTTTAAACTCTCATTTGAAACAATTGTTTAGTTTGAAAAAGAACGTTGGGCTCAAGAAAAAGAAATATATCTGCATAACAAAGACTGGTTTTTGAACGAAATTAAAGAACGTGACAGGAAGTTTGCAGTTCTAAGAATTGAAATGGTAATAAAATGTATCAATTTGACTAAAATATTGTCAAGTTTTTTCATAACTGCATTGTAAAAGTAAGGTCAGAAATTAATGGTAAAATGAAAGCAACAGTAGATATTTTGGTGCTATAATGGAATCAGCATTTGACTGTAACATGTTACGCCTTATCATTGTAACATTTGGGCAGAAAATTTTAAGACTCTGAGTTTTTTACCTTCACTTGTCATAGAAACGACTGAAATAAATTATTGACAGTTATAATTTATTTGCATATTTAAAATTATTTGCTTGACTCTGCTTCGGATTTTTTTTTCAGTATTTGAAAAGTGAAGTGCTGAAATATGAGTGATGAATTGTTTATATTCATATTATAGGTTTCCATAAAATGCGTGTTTTTTAAAATAAAGTTAATTCATATGTCCTCATGTTATGTATTCCATAACTAAAAATTTCTTTAGGTCAAATTTACTGGTGAGCTCCAAGCGGAGGTGGCATCTATTACTGACAAATATGAATCTGCCAAAAATGATGTCAGTAAACTTACATCTAAGCTTAATGATCGAGATAAGGAATTATCTAGGCTAAATACTCGCATCAAAGAGGTGATAATTTTTTAGTTTCATCTGTCTTAACTATGTAGTGATCGTTTTGAACTTCATGTCATTTGCAAAACTTTTCATAAAGATTTTCGAAGAGAATACGCAAAAGATGATGAAACTGGAAGAAGAGTTATTGACAAGTGAACGACTTTGTGCAGTTTATAAAGAAGCCAGTGATGATGCAGAAAGTAATCTACGAGAGTTAGCGCGGGATTTTGAAAATCGTGGAAATTTGATTGACAAGTCTAAAAAAGGTTCTGGTGATTCTGTTTCTCTTTAATTTTAGGCTAGATATGTAATAAATTTTTTTTTTGAGATTTGAAATTGATAAATAATTTTGTGCTTTGTAGCTTTTGAGTCGATGTGCGAGGAATTTGAAGAAAAAGAAAGAACTTTTATCAGAAAAATTGCTGAAAAGGGTGAGTCAGTAGATAATTTTTTTAGGTTTGAGAAGTTTTTTCTTATCACCCAAGATGTATTTGGTAATGATTGGAGAGCTGCTTTTTTCATTGCTTCAGAATTAATTCTTGTAAATTGGGAACTTTTTTTTACTCAGGAGATAGCTATTGTACATGTTTCTTAAGGAAAAAAAATGAATCATATATAATTTTGTACTTCAAAAAGTTTATTAATGATTGTTTCGTCGATCGCGTTTTAGTTTAACCTGGTTTATTTCAGATAAAAAAATCGAAAATCTGTTGGAGGAGTTAGATAAGGCTAACGATTTACTGAAATCAAGACATCGCGGTAGTTGTTCACTTTGTTTTTATTGAGTCATTAGCATAGGCATTTATTTTTCGATTTGACATAAAAGTTTTTGTAAAAATGAAATTGAAAAAAATTCCAGTTATGTTGTCAGATGATGAAATTATGGAGTTGTCGCCCGCGGCTGCTGCTGCTTCTTCCTTAATTCGAAATAGTGTCTCTCTTACTGGTATATACCGAGAACATTGTCGTGTAGTTGCGGAACTGGAGGAAGCAAAAGTGGAAAAAAAACAGATTGAAAGCTATTTTCGTCAAGTGGTCGAGGTATCGTATAAACTTTTAAAATGAAATTATGTATTAATAATGATGACCTTTTTCATGTAAGAACTATTGGTTGTGAAAAATATTGAACTTACGGATTATTTTTGTCCACATTTTCACAGGATATTGAAGCAAAGGCTCCATTACTTGCACAACAACGTGCAGAATATAATAATATGTCAGATTCGTTGAGTAGTTTGCAAAAACAACTACAATCAGTAGAGGAAGAGCGCCAAAAACTTGAAAACTCGCGTGATGCAACTGTAAGGGAATTAACTTATACGCGCGCTGAGTTAGAGCGGTATCAGCGTGATGTCGAAGATCTCAACAAACAGGTCATTTAGATTCTCTGAGAATTTGTAAAACTAGTAAATTTCACATGTGATGGACATAACAGTGTTACATTTGCAGAAATAGGTTGATTTTTTCCCTATCAGTAGATGTTATTATGATTAGGCGTAGAATTTGCAGCTGTTTGTTTCAGATTCGACATTTGTTACACGTATTAGAAATTGGTAAGGCAAATGCTACAGATGAACCTCCCATGGACGAAAAAGATCGTGAAATTTTGTGGACCTCAATCGCTGAGCTACAAAGAATCAACCAAAAATTGATGTCAGACTTGCGTACAGCAAGTGCCAATCATGATCGTGCAGTGGAGGAAGCAAAAAATCATGAGTAAATTTTTCTCTCGTTTAGGTTTCTTGTTCTTTTTGTTACATAAGAACTGCAACTAGTCCAAATTTTTACATTTTTTGCTTTTAGGATCAGCAGACTCAACGATTTGTTGAATGATGCTGGTAAAAAGTTGGATTTCCTGAAAGATGAAAATTTTAAACAAAATTTGGTAATTGATGAACTCAAGAAGCAACGCGATTCGTATAAAAAAATGAGTGATGAAAGAAAAACCGTTGAGGAGGTTAGAGTTTAGAGATTTTGATAGGTTTTATTTTTTAGTTCTTATCAACTTTCAAGGTTTTTCTTTATTAGCAAGTATTTATGCGCACTGTATATTAAAGAAAAAAAGAATTATAATCATTTGTCGGAATTTAGGTTAATTTACAGATTCTTTTGGTAGTAGAGTCCGTACAATAAGTAGTTGTAGTTTCATCGTTTTGGATATTAAGCTAGACTTCATTTTTATTTCAGTATGAAAGAGAAATATTCTTAACTCAGCAAAAGTGATCTTCACTATGATTATGGTTTTATTTTTTATAGTCATTTTCTCTGACTAAGCAAATCGACGATCTCCGCTGTGAAAACGCGAATCTGCGAGGGCATATAGAACAGGCAGAAAAGAGTTTAGATCTATTTCGAGAAGAAAAAACTCGCTCTGATGGGTTTGCCTTCAGTTTTTTGTTTACATTTTGGGTTTTATATAGAATTTTATTCGAAATTCATCATTCTTTCTATAAGTTATCAGAAATTTTTGGTTGCAGACTTCTGCAGTCACGGATCGATCAGCAGTTTGCTTTGATTTCTGAATTACGGAAAACTAATGGAAAGTTTGAAAGTGACATTGAAATGCAAAAGCAAACTCAGTTAATGCTTATTAAGCAGGTACAATTCGATCAGCTTAAGTTCTTTCATTAATTTCAAGAAAAAGTAAAATGACAGTAATCTTTATGGCTTGAACTTTTTTTCGAAAATATGAATCATGAAAGCATTTTCAAAATGTATTTAGGTTCACGTTGAAATGGCAGTCTTAACATGTGTATCGCTCGAAATTCATCATTTATAGATCACTCGAACTTATTTTAAGAAAAGCGATTATTCTACTCTTGCCGTCTTAAAATATATCTTAGCTTTTTTTTATTTGCTCTTCCTTGTGATAAAAATATCAACTTTTACTTATCATGCTCACAAGACATGGATTTAGCTGAAAGATTTGAATTGCAGGTAATAAATGATGAAATATTGATGGCGTCATCGCTTTTCAAGTTTTTAATATAAACTCGATGTATTAATGTAGTATAAATTTTGTAGTCGGAAAGCGATTCCAGTGAGTTGAATTTGGCTCGTGAGAAAGCTGCTAAGATGCAAAGCATGTATACAATGACGGATGAACGTTGTAGAAAGCTGCAAGAGGAATTAATGGAAACAAAAGAAGAAGTTGCAAAATACAAGTTCGATTTTTGACACTCAACAATTCAGCTTGTTTTCTGTTTCTTGTATAACTTTCAATAATTACCTTTTATTCTCTTTATTAATAAGTAATGTGTAACCATTTTAGTTTGTGATGTCCTTTAGTTAGTGTGTTCAATCAACTTAATGGTGTTAATTTTCGCTTTCATATTACTGCTCATTGAAAAACCTTATAGGACCGATGTTGAAGCTCTCATGGAAAAGCTTTCGTTTTTGCGAAGCACGGAAGCACAGCTCCAGCAAGAGCTTCGCATTTTACGGGAATCGGATTACAGTAATGAGAAAATGTCGCACATATTGAAACAGTTGGAGGTGATTATTAATTATGATATTGAAAATACTAAACGGCATGTTGGAAATATAAAATGTTGTATCCTATTGTTAATCAAGATTTTCAGAATCGTTTGCAATATGAAGATGAGGATAGAATGAGAATGTTCGAAGATCAACTGACTTTAGCTAAAAATGAAAATGAATCATTGAAGAAGTTTGTCAGTGAAATTTCTGAACAGCATCGTTTAATCAGTTTGGATTTGAAAGTATGTTATGACGAGTTTATACATAGAAATAGACAAATGGAATATCTCTTTCTAACTACTAATCATGAATAGATTGTTTGCAGACTAAATATGATGACTTAATTTTCAGATAACGACGAATAAAATTCAAGCAGAACGAGATCAAGCTTTGGCTAGCAAAAAATCAGCAGAAGATCATTTAGCTTTGAAGGAAAATGAATTAAATTGTTTGCAGACAAAATATGATGACTTAATTAATCAGTTGAAAGCACCTGATGATTCCCTTGGTTAGCTCATTTTTGTATCAAATAAAAGCAATTTAGAAAAGGCGTTGATTAAAGGCCGCTAAAATTTCACGACCATTTATAGAGATTCATTACACTTTCTAGAATTAGAAGTTTGTTTTTCCTATTGCATTGTACTTGGTTCACAGAGTCTAGTGATGACGGTTACAAGAAAGAAGCGCAGCAGCTTCGAAATCGTAATAATTATTTGGAAAATCAACTGAAAGAAATAATGACCAAGCTTGAAGGTTCTTCTTACTATTCTTGTTCAGTAATATGAAGCGCTCTCATTTTTCACTGTTTTGGGGCCTCTGTTTTTTTATATATTCATTCAATTTACTGGTCATAAAACAAAGGAATGTTGTGGATAAAGGTTTGTATCAAGTATCATTGTGTATGCAGTGCGATTGAGTTAATTTTGCAGTCAGTGAAAAAATGGTGGCAATACGTGAGCAAGAGCTTGCTGATATTAGCAAACTCAGCAGCAATATGGAATCGACTTTAGTCGAACAAGGAGCTGTTAGTTCATTCAGATTCATTTATTTGCTCATTTTTTCTAGCTGAATTGTTGTTTGTGGATAAAGTGTTTAAAAATTAATTTGTACTGAGCGATGTAAAATTTTTTGCAGAGCGCTATTGCGGAACGAAACAGTTTGGAAGCGATATTAAATTTAGTGAAAAAGCAGTTGTCTGAAAGGTTTTTTTTTAAATATTTTCTAGTGAATTTGAAATATCAAAAATAGTTTGAAGTGTAGCAGTTACTGATACCTTTCCAAAAATTTGGTGTTATTCGTCAACAACTTTGACTTCTCCAGCTACTTATCCTTGATTGTTGCAAAAACTCTCTTTTTTATGGTAACATATAGAGTTATGATTAAGTAATTTCGAAGTAGTTCATGTATGAACTTCGTTTTTGCTTTCAGATAAAGAGGCTATGTAAAAAAAATGGTATTTTACAAGCATTTAAAGTTACATCCGAGAATATTGCATCATTTTTTTCAGTGTGGCTTTGGTTGAAAAGCAACGAACTGAAATTGCTACTCTAGAACAGAAAGTGCAAGATGAGGCTAATAAAACACAGCAGATGAAAATAGAAAAATTAAAAGAATATCAAATTTTGGAGAGGCATTGCTGTTCATTAGACATAGAAAAGTCGAACGCTGAAAGTCGGATACGGGAACTGGAGCTGGAAAATGCAAAAATTGTCGCAGCAAAAACATCGGTACAATATGAGTTATGAGTTAGATTTTTTGTCAATGTTCACGAAAAAAACATTGTACATTTTTGCAGATTGAAGAGGAATTCAAGCAAGCAAAAGCGAATGCTCGTGAACTAGAGCACAAGGTTGAGATGAAAGAGAATGAAGTTCAGAAATTAAGTAGTACGGTTGCTGAACTTGGACGGAAATGCGAAGACATAAGACATTGTAATTCATCAGAAGTGGTTTGTTTGTTAATTTTAATTATAAAGGAGTAAGCTTTCGTGATTTCCACTTGAGAACTTTCAGGCTGGGTTGCGTGTTGAAAAGAACCGAATAGAAATAGAACTTCAAGAAGCGAAGAAACTAGTAGACGAACAAAAGCAGAAGCTAGAAACGGTGAACGACAATTTACTAAAAGTGGGTAGCTATTTCAATGAAATAGAAAATTCTGACGTGACTAGAATTCGTTTGCAATGTCGAAATTTTTTAGTTGATACAACGCATGTCAGTCTTGGAACGCTCTATGAAAATCTGCACTTCTAATGAAGATGGGGCTGGAAACAGCGATTCCACTACACCTTTGTACGATGTTATCAAGTACCTACAAACTGAAAATCGACAAGTAGGGATTCTAGTGATTCCGTCTTCACTTGAATTATTTTTAATCTTTTGAATATTTGAAATTCAGTAAGCTGTCAGCATTTGTCAGTGCTGACAATTCACTGCATTCTTATAAGTGCAGGAAATTATCATGTGCAATATATGATAGATCCATTAATGCTGGTTAGCTCAACAAATTCAGGCTATGGAACGAATGATGAATGCCGAACTTCAGTGGAAGCGTCTGCAAGCACAACTAACTATTGCTGATGAAAACCGGTTGAAATTAGAAGAAGAAATAGTAAAGGTTCGAAAAGAAAACGAGGTTTGTGGAATTTGGTCATCTTTTTGGCGAAGATAATCGTCGCATTTTTTTTGTGACCGTTTCAATATGTCTGTGATGAATTCTAATGACATATTTGTTTAGTAACATTTAAAAAATTGGAGGTTATCAAAAATTTTAGAAAGTAGTACGTTATTACTGTTTTTCAGACAAATATTCGTTTAACTGCAGAAAAAAGTGAAATGGTAGCACGGTTGGAATTGTTGGAGAAAGTACAGAAAGAAAATCAAGCTTTGAAAATGAGTAACGAAAAATTAGTTCAGCGCGTGGAGCAACTAGCTAAGAACGTACGGCTCTTAATGAGTACACGAATTAGAAAAAGTTTCTTCGAAGTATATATTGCGTTGAAAATTACTGCTGCACTTATTCTTTTCAATTTGCAGGCAAGCGACTTGCAAGTACGTGTAACTAATTTGAATGCAGAAAAAATAACGGAGAAAGGACGGTTGCAGAATTTATGCAATGATCTACAAGCTAGTCACAAAGAAGTAATTACTTATCGATATCGGCTGTCTAGTTTATTTGATAATTTTTCAAAAATAATATGTATTTTTGGTAGGTGTTGACTATTTTAATTATCGATCTGAAAAAAGTTAACTTCGTATTTCTTTGATATAATCAAGTCTTTACAGCTTGAGTCATGGAAAGAAAGGCACAATCTGGCATTGGTTTCACTTGGTAAATTTGGACCTGATAAAGTGGTTGCTTTGAAGTAGTCCTTTATTTACCTTTAGCATATTATTTCTTCAATTATATAAATCTAATTCTTTTTTTGAGTTCAATTACAGCAACGAAATTGAGTCATTGAAGCGCAAATTAAGTTTGTTTACTACAGAGCGCGATTCTTTGAAAAAGGAAATGGAAAAATTGGTTCAAGAATCCACATTCAAGTAACTTTTTTGACCTAGCCTCTTCAAATATCGCATATTTTATTCTCCGTACTTTTCTGCTTAGTAGGTCCTTTGGGCATTAAATATGCTGATTTCATTGCATTTGGAAAAGTAGCCAGACTGGTCATATATGATACTTCAATGATAAAGATTGTATCAGTTTAATTATTTACTTAAGGTCAGATTGTGAACCTACTTTTTCAATTTATCAATAAAATTATTTCCAAAATTAAATTATATTTCATTTTTCGGTTGTTACTATGTTCAGATATGCTTATTAAATTTTGGTTTTAGAGAGGCACTAACGGACGTGAAGAAAAAATTCGATGAAAGTGAGTCGGAGCGAACCAAATTATCTGCCAAATTTGAACAGGCCAGAATATTTGCTCGTCGATACAGGATGAAGTCCCAAACATTGGAAAAAGAGGTTGAAGAGTTGAAAGAACAAATAGCGGAGAAAATATCTGCTGAAGAAGAAGCTAATGCTGAAGTTGCAAGATTGAAACAAGAACTGTTCGCCACACGCTCTGAAATGGAGAGGCAGAAACAAGTATAATTTCTCACAGCACTTTAGACATTCGAATTTCGTTAATGAAATGGCAGTTTTATTTCTGAACGTGCTAATGAGTTTTTTTCAAACGTAGGTTTCAATATACAATAAGTGTTGAAATAATTATCAGAACAGTTACTTTATTTTATGATTTAAACACTACGAAGTACTGTACATCAATGGAGTTTGAATTTCGTTTCGTTCTAGAAACATATGTTTCGTTCTGGCTGGCCAGTTGAAAGTGGATTAACGGTTACACAGTCCAGTAAAACAAACCTCATCTTGCAGACGCAGCTGAAACAATTGGAAGGACTTAGTCAACAAAATAAAGTGAACATTCTTTAACAACTTCTGTAAACTTAGAAAGTAGTAGCACTCAAATTTTATATGCTATTTGATTTCACAGTTTGTGTTGCTTGATCTCTAGTTCTCTAATTATTCGTTTCCGTTATTCTATTTTTTCTTTATTTGTCCAATCTTTTATTATTGAGATTAATTGTTGTTCTTATTGGAAAATTTTAATTTGAAGCATATGGTTTTAAGGACTTATCCAGACAGTTGGAAGAGTCTGCCGAGAAGTACAGAATGGCTCAGACTAAACTGAACGAAGCTGAAATAAAACTGCGAGAAACGAGAGCAGAAAGTGATACTAAAGGTTTGTGATTCTTAAAACATGGGGAGCAATCCGTCTATGAAATATTATGAACATGCTTTTTTAGAGAGTAGTTTTAGTGAATCTAAACAGAAATTGTGATGAAGTTACAATTTCATGTATGGACTTTTAAGAAAAGAAATTTTAAAAAGTTGTTTTAGTTATGTTAAAGAATTATATTTAAAAGCTGTATGAAATGGATATTTTTTGTAGATGAATTACGTTTTCGAATTAATTCAATCACTAGTATTGTGACCAAAAAAGAGGAGGAGGTAAATCGACTTCAGAAAGAACTTGCAACTATTAAACAATCAAATGAAGCTTGTCATACAAAAATAAAATCTTTGGAAGCAGCTTTAAGTGCGTGCAGAAGTGGGAATAGTAAACGCTCCGATGATCCTTCCACAAGTGTGAAGCCTGTGAGGTCTGAAAAGAATTAATTTTTATTTTAGTTATCAGAACTAATTTCTAAGCTTTATTTGCTTTTGAACCATTTGAAATATTTCATTCTTGAATATCCATAAATTAGAAAATAAACTTGGAAATTATTTTTATAGCTCATCCACATCTGCTGCATCTCAAAGAGAATCCTCCAGTTTTCCTACATTTAGTACTACTGATACAACTATTCCGCATTGTTCAGTCGTAGTACCCGAAAAAGGTGAATTACTTTTTAGAACAGTATTCAGAGCAGAGGCTATATATTCTTTTGCAGAATAGTACAAAAGTCTGGACTTTCATAACCATATGATAAATTTCAAGTCTGTAAAGTAAAAGTACGTTTTGATCATTTTTTTGATTCTCAAAAATTTCGGTGAATGATGGAATTGATGATAATACATTTTACTGCAATGTTTTTTTTTCTTTTGCTATTTTTAATTGTAGTGGCTCAAGAACCATTTAGATTTTCTTCTAATTCAGTAATTTAATGCAGTACTTTCAACATATTTCAGAAATACCAACAACTTCACATTTCATTCCATCAGCAGGATATGCTACGACGATGCAAGTTGCTCAACAGCATAACTATGAAAATATTAAACAGGAAGATGGCAAAAATGTTGAATCACACCCGATACTTCATGGTACTTTGGTGTCAACTACCAGTGAACAAGTATTTTTCCTAGTTCTGTTTTTGTAGTAGAACTTCCAACTGTTATCATTGAGTATTTTATTTTTAAAATGCAGTTTCGCTCTTTTAAAATCTAATGTGTACTGGATTTGAAGTGAATCACAGTTGCACACTTGTTATCTATGTATTTCTGGTTAAACAAATTGAAGAGGAATTGTTAAATTACTACTCAAACAAAGCAAGTTACTAATATGTTATTTTGTATTTTGATGGAATGGAAAAGTTTTTTATTTTTGTTTTCTGTTTGTGTTCTGTAAGCAATCAATACTTTGATTTTGCAGAGCAATACAGTAAGTCAGTCGACTGCTGGTGATGCGCATGCACAATTGCAGCAGCACAGTGGTAAATTTTTTAGCTTTTAATCTGTCTTTTGAGCTAAAATTTTATTCAAAAATTTGCAAAAGAAGTAAGCTCCTTTGTTCTATTTCTTCATCTTTTGTGTAATACTGATTTTAGTTTTTTTTAAAGCGCTTTACGCTGAAAAAAAGCTAAAAAACAAAAATAATCATTATTCGAAATCCAAGCTACTAATGCAATGCATATTCAAAAAGATATTATTTTTAGTTACTTCTGCTGGCTCTGATGGAACAAACGTAATCACGAGCAGTGTAGCAAGTGGAGATTTATCTGCTATAATAGAAGGAGTTTCAGTTCAAATGGGATCAAAGTTAATGTCTGAAAGGAATGAGGAAAATATAATTTCAAGAAAAAGAACCTTTGCACCATCAAAGTAACGCTATTTTCAATCTTAGTGGGTTTTTGTTAGCCGGTTTGTGTTGTCATAACTTTTAATTTCTAGTGAACAAGTTGAGACAGGATCTGGTATTTTGGAACCTCGGAAGCGTCATCGTGGAAGTCCTTTAGGACAGGTCAGTCCTACTTATGTCTTTAACCATTTTTAAATTTATATATAAAATATTCAGATAGAGTGATCGATACCTGCTTTTAAAGTATGTTTAAAGGTAGGTTAAAGATGACATATTCTCTCGTATGATTTTTAATTTTGATTTAATTTACTTGCAAATTTCAAGGTATCCACAAGTGGTCGTTTCATGAAATTAATTACCAAATCTCAGGTTGATATTGAGCAACATACTGTTGATGTAACTGGACATGAGCAGCAAGAAAATGGTAAGTTTAGTTACGAAATACATGGAATATTTACTAATTTAATAAGAATGCTTCTGTTTATTTGGGAACATTATGGTTTTTATTTGAAGTGGAAACAACGACAAGTACTGAAGGAGATGATTCCAACAGTACGAGAGCATCTAGTCCACGAAAAACTGCTATTTCATCTGTTGAAATCGAGGTTTTTTATTCACATATTTAATTCGTACTTTATTATTATTCTATCTAAAACAGAATTGTTAGGATTTTGTATATTAAATTCTTCACCATCTGGGATACTTCACGTCATTATCAGCTTGGTATGAATTGTTAGCAGTATATTGTTGAATTGAACAGTTTGTTCGTTTTCTTTTCATTGTTTTCCGTGATGAAAGTTTCACTATCTGTAGCATTAATACTTCTGCATATTAAAAATTACTAAACTTATCTATTTTTTTAGCTTGGTCATGAACATGTTATTAATATTTTCTTATCTTTTTTTGCAGAATACTAGGAAAGTGTTTTGAAGAAAATAATGTGATCTCAGTGGTTCCTAATTGATGATTGCTTTAAATATTCTAGGAATTAGATCTAGAAGTCAGGAATGACATTATTCAGGAGGAAATGCATCAAGGACATGATGAGGAGGTGCTAATTGAAAATAGCGGAAGCAATGCAGTATTGACTGAAGAAGTTAAACATGATGCATCAGCAGATGAGGATGATCTAAGTGAAGAAGCGGTTAGTATCAGTTGCAGATATTTAATATTACAAACAATTTTAGCTTCAGGATGATGTTATTCTTGTTTTCAATTTTGAATCAGATTTGTGAATTTATATGTTTTTAATTTGATTTTTTTTGTAGGGTGATGAAATGTCAGAAGAAGAGCTGGATGAAGAGGAATTTGATGATGAAGAACCAGACGAAGAGGAAGAATTTGAGTTACGTCAAAGTTATGGAACATTATATGCTGGTACTCAACGTAGAGATCAGTTGGTTAGCTTTTTTTTTAGCAAACTTTTTGCATTAAATTCAAATAATCGTTTAGATATGTTTATGATTATTCAGCTTTCTCTGAAACTCGGAAAATATGTTTTGTTACAGACTATTCATTTGAGGTTTTTATTATTTACATTTTTCCTGACTTTTGTGCTTTGATAGTGGTGATTTCTTAGCTTCTTTTTCATGAATGAATTTACATTCTCAGAATTAAATTTCGCTTTAAATTTACGTTATGTATTCAGTAACAGTATTACTTGCAGCTCTTACTGTTTCATTTCCTTGCCTTGAGGAAATAAATATAAAGCTGGAATTTTCTTTAATTATGATCATTGTAAATAAATGTTTATTCTAAAGAACTTATAGAGATCTGGAAATGAGGATGATGATGACGATGACGTTATTCTTATTACTGACGACGATGAAATAACACATTCGCACTTTTCGGTAGATTTGTCTATGGACGAAGCTCACGGTGATGGTAGTGAAAGTGGAACTGCTGCCGATGATGATATTGAAATATGTACTGCTGAAACACGTGAGCCAGAAAATTTTACAGGTTTTTTCATTGTCAACTACAAAGCAGCAGACGAAATTGCAGATTTTGGTTTTGTAGTAACCTATTTACAGTCTTTTTATTTTTTGCATTAATCAAGTCTATCATTCAGTATAAAATTTAAAGCACCAGCGCAGCAAGTTGATACAATTTCGCGTATGGATTTATCATCATCGGATGTCTATGTCACTGCTCATGTTGAAAGTCATCAGGATCGTTCAAAGTTTGCATTTCGTTTATTCTTTACATGATTTTTATTTTCTTCAACTTGGTATTGAAAGTGCTTATAGTGTTTTTTGAGGAAGTAAATTAAAAACTACATGAAATGGATTTTAATGGGCCAAAATGAGTTATTGCGACTAATTGTTTTCAGATTTAAAAAAAAGTTGTTTAATGCGAATCTTAAATTTGTTGCTACTGCTATTGGATTTGATTTGTACTGTATGAAAATTTTAATATATTAAGTCTCTTCTCTGGCAAAACATTTATTATTTCCAAAAAAACTTTTGTTTTAGACATGTTACTTCGGAAACACATCATATTGCCAGATTAGAGCATGCGCAGTCGCTCTCTCTATATAAAGACTCACAAGAAGTTACTGATGGTAAGGTGTTATTAAACTAAAAGCAGATTTTTATAAAGCTGCAACTTAGATACTTTTGCCGATTATGTTTCTGAATAAAGTAAACTTCTATGTACATTTAGTTGTATCTGGTTCAGAGCTTTGTGGTCTGTGTAGTTCGCCGCCTCTTATTGGTTTGTGACTTTTAATTCATAATTTTATGTTGAATATCTCACATGTTGCTATTACTCTTCCAAAATAGAATTAAAGAGCTTCTGGGAGTGACTCACATAATTATGAAATAGTTTTTTTACTGCACTAAGTTTGTATCTTTTTTATGTTGCAGCATTACTTACGAATATATAAACGGCTAAATATATGATGAAGTAAAAAAAGACTTGCAGAAGTCACAGAATCAGATATTCGTGGGGCATCAAGTACCGTTGCTCCTCCAACAAGTACGGATGTGGACAGTGGTGATAGTGAGCATGGACTGGTTATTGAAGAAAGTAAAGATGAAGTCATAGCAGTCGAATGTGAAGAAAAGCGTGTTGCACAAACAGATGAAGGTAGATCAATGGGACCAAGTACATCGCACGGGTTGGCAAGACGTATTCGTATCAGATATCCGGATATAACGGAACCTACATCTAGCAGGTGGGGTGAGACTATTTCAAAGGTAGTCATAATAATATCTAATAAATAAAGGGTAACTGATAGAAATTTCTTATGTGTTGGGTTGGATTTTTCTGAAGTGAATACTTCTTTTTTGATAATAACTTGATCCACCATATCTGAACCAAGTTGTTTATTCAAGGTTCTGGATTATATCTATTGTTTTTAATTTTCGGGTTTTAAAGCAGTTTTTCATCTAATTTTTTGATTAATAATTTATAGCAGTGATGCATCGCAACTGTTTTCTGGTACATTTCGCCGTGGTGGACGTTCAGCGCGTTCACGTCGTAGACGTGGTCGATATGGAAGGCATTAATTATGCTCTTAAATAAGCTGTTGCCAGATATGAACATTTAATTCAGATTTCAGTTTGAAGTTTGAGATTATCTTCTTGCAACTACGTGATCAAAATCACGTCTTTTGTTGACTGTGATTCAAAATAAGTCTCAAACTGCAAACAAACTAGGCAATTCAAGTGTTCAAGAAGTTTAAAAATTTGTATAGTTGTAAAAATCTTCAACTTTCAAGATATTAAATTTCGAAGCCTTTAACCTTCAAAGAATTTTTTTATTGGAAGCGTAATATTATGTTCACAGGTTGCAACTATGGTATGCAGTATTAAATGAGTTCATTTGTGTTTTTTTATTTAATTTTTTTGTGTTATATATGGAGTATTTTCACAATAGCATTATATTTTTTTCATCCTCCTGTTTTATTTTTTTGCATATAGTAAACTTTATTTAATGTGTTAATTGTGCATTCAACTCTAAGAGCAAAGATTAGCTGTACATAGATGACAGATACGATGAATTTGGAAAAACGAAATTTCCGGTGTAGAAGCGTTCAAGGACGTTTAAGAATGGATGGGTGTGAATTTTTGTATGGCGGTTTATAGTTAAGTATCAAAGGAAAAAGTTGTAATTCCCGATCTTGCTTGTTTCCGCAACTTTTAAAATTTTCAGATTCACTAACTTCATATAATTCCAACAACAAAAGTGAGTTCATTCCATTTGGGTAGTCTATATGGTGTGAAGTCCATATTTTTCTGCGTGCATAGCAAACTTGTTTTTTTTGGATTGGCGGTTGTCCACTGATGAGGCAAATCACGAAAATTTTTTTTCGTTGAGCAATTTTATTACCATATGAATGAAGTGGAAAAACTGGTTCTAGCATAAAACTAAATTTGATAAAAAGCGCTGTAATAATTGAAACGATAATCTTGCAAACATGCTGAAATCATTATTTTGCTCACTCAGAATTTGAGTATCTCAAATCATAAATCGCTTTGAAGAGAACTGCTTCCAACGCTAATTTCAGGAGTTCTTACATTTATATTCACAAATAATTTTACTAACTAAATAATCTTTTCTATGTTTAAGAATTCGAGCAATGTTGAAGAAATCTGTGATTTGTAAGTTAGGGATAAGATATTTGAGAGCGCTCTACGACTCGGACATCTATCATACTAATAATAGAGTTATGCATTTTTTTCAGAAGATCTTATCCCTAAGATAAATTCTTCTGTATCGGAACCTGTTTGGACACGCTGATTTTTCATTATTGATGGATCATTTATTGAGTTGTTTTCGTTCGAGCAAAAACAAGAGCAAATGACAACAACATGGTACAAACGGAAAGTTTTTGATCAGAAAACTGAGAAAAGTGTCCTTTTTACTGCATATTTAATTAATAGGCTAAATGAATATTTGATAACACTAAACTTTTCAAATGATAGAGTCTAACTGATTAATGTAAAAAAATTTTTGCTCTTTTGCTCTTCCATATCAAGGGCGTTATTATCAAAATATGATAAAGAAAATAAGAGCAAATGATGTGAATCTTCTGATAGTCTTATATAAAAGGATTTTATTTATTTTTAAATAAATTGTATAAAATTTTGTGGTATCAGTGTTTAAAAAAGAATGCTTTTACACGTGTTAAAAAATACGAGATGAACTAAAAGTTGCAATTAAATACAGTGATTTTAATTTTATGTCAAATGGAATCGTGCCAAATTATAAATCGACCGCCCCAAGCATATTTTAAAAATTTTCTGATTTGTTTAAAAGCGAAATTAAATTAGATTGTTTCGGTTGTTGACAGTTGAAAACTGCGCTTTTTCCTTCGAAGCAAACACTTTTTTTCTTACTTTTAAATTTCAACTTTTTCAACACTTCCGTTTGTTATATTACTCGTAACTTATTAAATCAATTCTTTTGTAGCAAAATTTTTCGTTTTTGCCTTTATTCTAAAATTACTGTAAAAATAAATTCCAAACTAGTAATCATTCAATGTGTACTAAATTTTCAGATAAGTTTTTCACATTCAGTGCTAATTTTTCACATTCATTAAACGATGCACTTATTTTATTAAATCCCTCTCAACGATAATTAGCATTTATTTAATGTTTTTTGAAATTTTTAAGAAAGTTGTTGAGTTAGTTTTATGACATTTTTGAAGTTATTTCATGAAAATGTACCACCAATTCGTCAAAAATTAGCTCATTAAATTTTTTTATTTACTCATGTTATAAAGGTAATTTACTTTGTCATCATTTGAACTTTCCAGAAATTCTACAATATCAGGAAATAACTTTAAAATTGTTTTCAAAAATAACTCTGTTACTTAAATTTTGGAAACAAAGATGTTTTTATTTCATTTTTATTGGTAAACTTTAAAAAAATTCCACAATTTCGAGTTTTATTTTACCTTAATAAATTATTCATTGCATATTTGGATAATTTTTTTCGGAGGTGAATTTTTTAAACACTCTTACTTGCAACTGCAGTGTTTTATTTCAGATCAAAAACCATTAAAATATTTGTCAACAGCGAAACTTTGAAACTACAGGTGAACATTAACACATTGAGTTAGTATTCTGTTAATTCAGTCAACTATACAAACCAGCCCTTTAAGGGGCCACGTGAAAACTTTAGTTAGTCAAAAGATAGTAATTCAATCGAAAGTCAATGGTTACTGAAGTGAATAACGAAGAAAGCAAAAAAGTTCTCGAGGGTTATCCTGTCGATCTCGAATTCCTTAAAGCCGAAAAACAAAAAAGTGAAACAGTTCAAGAATTTTTCCATCGTTAGTTTTTGTGTCCTGTCCAAGTATTTTCATCTTTTTCAATTGTATCTTTTCTTAATTACCTTAAAAATTCCTAATCAGTTAGTTTATTTAGCTTATTTTGACTTATTTTAAAAACTACGAGTTTTCAAAACACAATTTCATATCAATGAATTTTTAATGAATTGAAGAATTTTTGTAGATAGCAAAAACAGCAAACAAGCATATAAATTTAAAAAATAACGTGAAAATTGCGCAATTAGATTGCATCATTCAAAGCGCTAAAAAGATTTCAAATTCGAATACAAATATTTCAATTCTTATCCAATGTCAAAGATGCAGAATTATTTCAGTAAGGATGTCAAATAAAATTGATCCGATTTTTTTAATCTTTGTTTGCATGAAGTAATATTTATTGTGCCCGAGCAAAAATAATGAAGATTAGAATGATCAAAAAGTTTTTTACATAATTCATTCTGAGATTAATATTTTTATGCATGTCAGTATTGGCTGTATCGATAACTATTGAAAATAATTAGTTATTACTAATGTTAAACCAGTAAACAGGCCAATATTAAGTTTGTATTCAAGTTAGATGATTGAAAGTAATAAAATATATTTCAAATTATGTATTTTTTCTAATTCATTATTTTTAATATAATAGTAACAATTACGTCATATTTTTATAAGAAATATTTTAGTTGCTTGCTATTTCTAATAATAGTTCTCTGCTTGACATCATTTGTGACATTCCATTTTAAAGTTAAAAGTTTTGATCGCAAAACAATCCAAAAATTATTATTTTTGCATTAAATAGTTTTTGTGCTTGTGATACTCTAGATGCAATTCTTGAAGTTTAGGGCATCTGAAAGATGTAGTGCACTTCTTCGTCGAAGACTGGTTTTTGTCTGCTATGCTTGGTATAATTACAGCAATTCTTTCTATCACGATGGATGTCGGTATTGAATATTTACAAGAATGTTAGTTGAATATTTTTTTGCCTTATATACATCATTTTTCTGCTTTACATAAAAAGTTCAACTGCTTAACTGATTTTGTTTGTTGGTTAAATTTTAATCCGATTTCGAGTTATCAATTGGAAAACAGTTTTTTCAAATTTATATTCATTTTATGGCAATTTTTAGATCGTGTAATATTACATGACTATACTGTACGAACTCATCACTATTACGCTTCTTTTATATCGTGGATAGCTTACATAACTTTACTTACTGGTGCATCAGCTATATTCTGTCATTGTTTCGCTAAACAGGCTGTTGGTAAGTGAAGAAAGTAGTTTGATAACGGCAAATTTAAAGTTTTCTGCTTATTAACTCAAATATTACCTGCATTTTTGTCATTTTTCAGGATCAGGCATTCCAGAATTGAAAATTATCATGAGCAGTTTTAAATTAAAAAATTATCTAACATTACAAACTATGATTGGCAAAATTTTTGGTTTAACTCTTGCACTCGGAAGTGGATTGCCAGTTGGTAAAGAGGTAGTTTTGTTTATTGCTAATTTCATGTAAAAAATTTTAAATTGAACTAAATTTCAATCAATTTAAAAATTTGGAAAATTTTTTAAGCAATTTACATCTTTTACATCACCATCCAAAATTTGTTCAGTTCTTGTTTTTTGTTCCACAATCTTACTTTTATAAAATGCTTTTTATGCAGGGACCTTTTGTGCATATTGGAGCAATTGTAGCATCATTACTGACGAAAATCACTTCTGCTTGCCAATATCAAGCATTTTTTTCCAGCGAAGGTCGTGAAATTCAAATGCTTTCTTCGGGATGCGCAGTTGGTATTGCGTGTACATTTTCCGCTCCAGCTGGAGGTTATATATGAATTAGTTTTGAAAATATGTAATTTTTAGCAAAAAATCAACAAATTAAACTCAAATTATCAAAACTTGAGTTAAAATTAATCAAAAATATTTGAAACAGTCAATATAAAATGTTTTATTTCACGCAATACCATAGGTGTTTTATTTCAATTTGAATAACAAAAGTTGTAAAGCATGCTGCAAGTAAATAAAAAATAAGAACTTTCAGTATTGTGCATCACTTATAATGATTCAAAATAAATGATGTAAGTAATTTTGATCAAACAGTATTTAGCCATTTAAATTAAAATTGATATGAGACTTTTTTTTTTCCAGCTAGATAGATATTATCGAATTAATGCAAAGAGCAATAAATTAATGCAAGAAAAGCTTTTATTTTTTAGCAGTATTATATGGTATCGAATCAACTTCGAGGTTTTTTGCTGTTCGAAATTACTGGCGAGCATTTTTTGCAACAACATGCAGCGCACTAATATTTCGTTTTGCTAATGCTGCTATTATACCTCCAGAAATTGGTTCGCTTTTTTCAACGTAATTGCTGATATGTGATACAGTTTTTCTATAAATACATCCGAAATTTTGTATATTAATTAGGTAAATAATTTATTCAGGTCACTTGTATTCATTTATTCGTAATTAGTTAACAGTGCTCAAATAGATCAAATTTTAAATTAAGAAAATCTTTGTCATATACTTGTAGTTCTGGCTAACATCTTTTTAATTTACTTTTTTCTATTTTTCTACACACAATCAACATCATTAATTTTTGTATTAAATTTCTCAACAATTTCCAGTCATAATATCTTTTATAAAATTGTAATAATGAATACAATCATATGCTAATTTCAAAGTAAATCAAAAGCTTTGTTTAAAATTACAAATGAAATTAATATTCACATAAGTAATTTAATATTTTTTAGCAGGTACGATAACAGCATATTATCAAACTTACTTTCCAAATTCAGTATTTGTGGTTGAAGAAATACCAGTATTTATACTTATTGGGTATGTGTTAGTCATTAATTAATGGTTTTTAATTGTGGAAAAGTATTCAAAATTTGTTAATGATTTCGTACTAACGGAAGACATTAGTATTAAATTAACTGATTTGTATTAATATTCTAAATTTTATTTATTTTGATAATCATTTTTTTTGAAAAAATCACAGAAAAAATTGTTGAAATTGCTTAATTTTCAATTCTGTTGTTTGTTTTTTTAATCTTTTTATCAAAATCTTAACAGTGTTCAAGTTTTTTAAATTTATCGTATCATATTACATCTTTGATGTTTAGCGTATTTTCGGGTTTGCTTGGTGCTTTATTCGTATTTGTTCATCAGAGAATCGCAATGTTTAGGAAAAAAAATCGCTTGTATTTACGAATCTTTGGTAAAAAGTATGTATCAATTCATATTTTCATTTGACGTCATTTAGTTTTGTAAATTAGAATTTTTTACCTACACAAGTAAAATTTTGTTAAATTCTTTAGTCCGTTGATGTTCACGATATTTATGGCTGCTGTTGTTGGCATAGTAACATATCCAGAAGGCACTGGACGATACTTTGCTGGAAAAGTTGGTTTCAACAATCATATTTTATGGGCAATTCTATATTGTACCAAATATTCAGATTCTAAGAGCAAATTACGTTAGGAAACAAGTGTTCCTTATAATCTATTTATAGTGAGAATGAAACAGCACATATTTCAAATGCGTATTTTAGAATAAACAGTTTGATTATTTGCTTCCATATTTTGTTAACATTCCATACAAAGTTATAGTGATGTACTGTTTATCTCATTTTGTTGTAGTTAACATTTCGTGAAACCCTAGCTGATTTCATAGCAAACTGCACATTTGCGTTATCAAACGTGACCAGATCAGGCTGTTCAATGGATCGAATGGCACACTGGATCGGGCCAAAGGGGGAATTGCATGCTTTAAACAGTTTGGCGATTTATTTTTGTGTCTATGTAAGTTTTAATGAATCTCTTTCAAAGATAGTTTTGTTTTCAGCAGACTTCGGTGAACGAAGTTAATTATTGGCTAAGAATAATGCTCGTATTGTTATTTGTAAATATAAAAATACTCTCGAAACTAAATTTTTGAAATGCTATAGCGATATCAAACTTGGTAACACGTGAAATGAGCTGTAATGTTTATTTCCAAATGGTTTTTGAGTTAAGGAGCATCTGAATAAATGATAATAAATAAACCAAGTATAAGAGTATATATAACTAGAAAAATGATATTTTAACAGGAAAGTAATCAAAGTTTTATGAATGATACAAAAGCAATTCCAGTGCTAGTTGGGATGATAATATTGAGAGAACCGGTAGCTTAATAAGTTGAGTAGCTGTAGCTGTTTAGCTGCTATTCAGTTTATCCTTGTTGCAATCTGTGTTTCGCTGGCAGTACCAGCAGGAATATTTGTGCCTTCTTTCGTGATCGGTGCTTGTGGTGGTCGATTGATTGGTGAATTAATGGCTTTATTATATCCTCAAGGAATTCGTGGTATTGATGGACCTCAAATTTTTCCTGGATTATATGCTGTTGTTGGTTAGTTTAGTATTTAATTTTTGATACTTTTAATTTCCAAAAATGTTTCGTTCATTTGTATATTTACTAAAATTTTGTATTTTTTTTTGATAAACTTTTAATTATGCATTTAAGCATTTTCATTTTTGAGGCTTACTTTTGTAAAAGCTATTTTATTTCAGTTACACTGTTATTTTTTCTAAGTAAACTTTTCGATGATATTTCAGGTGCAGCTGCATATACAGGATCAGTAACGCATTCATTGTCTATTGCAGTAATTGTTTGTGAAACAACTGGTCAACTTTCTCCCTTACTACCAGTTCTAGTATGTTATTCTTCATACTTCATGTATGCATTGTTTTTAATTCATTTTCAAAAACTTCTGGTTATAAGTTTTTATACATTTTCATTTTCCCAAATTTTAAATGATGCGTGATTATAATAATTTAAATGCATAAATTTGAAAACGTTGCAATTTCTTTTCTTGATTACTTCTATTTGTTGAAGTTAATTAAAAATTTTTCAGATTGCACTAATGATTGCTAATGCGATAAGCAGCTTTTTGCAACCATCAATTTATGAAAGTATGATAAAAATTAAAAATTTGCCATATTTGGCAGATTTACCACCTTCTCGAATCAGGTTATTTTTTTTAAAATATTTGTAAGTGTTGTAAAATTATGAAAGCGAAATATTCTACAAAAATTTGTATTACTATTACAATGATGTAGAAAATTCACTGCCAAAATCAATTTAATCTAACAAAGTTTTCTATTTTTGAAAGAGATAGGCCAAAGGCATGCATTTTATATTGTGACCGTGAAGTACATCAGGAAGTAAAAGGGAGATCTAAAATATGTTGCTTAAAAATCATGGTATTTTTGTAAAATATCGTAAAATGTTTATTTGGCTAATTTCAAATATTACTATTAATATTTAAATAATATTTAAATTTCAATTAAACTTTTAGTGTGCATAAATTGAAAGTTGAAAATGTCATGATTCACAATGTGTTGTGCATAACAAAATCCACAACATATAGGGAACTACGAGAGCTTTTACTTGCAACACCACATTTGCGATCGTATCCACTTATAACTGATTCCAGTATTTTTTTTTTTAGTCAAATATTTCTCAAAATATCATATTTTTTGTTTCACAATTTTTTGTGAATTGAAATGCAAGAACAATAACGAATTATTAACAGACATAATCAATTTTGTAATTTATTACAAGCACTTAATTATAAGAAAATTACGTACATTAACTTATTAAATTATTCCCAGTCAACAAGTTGAATGTAAAAATTTAATTAGATAAAACGATAATTACAAATTTCTAGCTTCAAAAATTCTACTTGGTTCAGTGGCACGCAAATATTTGAATTATTTGTTGCTAGAGAAGTTAGGAGCTGATTCAATTATTGATAGGAGAAGAGGAAGTACAACATCAGATTTGTTAAGTCATATACGTAAAAATTCGGCATTAAATGTTACGAGTATATTAACAGACCGAAATATTAGTGGCAATACACTGCTTGCAAACAGTCCACTTCACGAAGATCATGGTGGAGGTTATGCTTTTTTACTTTAACTTGCTGAGTAGGTCCGTTGTATGTAAAATTTTTCGTTAATATTTAAAGACAAAATATTAAAAATTGTATAACAATCACTTTCAAAAATATCGAGCACACAAATTGATGGTGAAGTCAATTTACAGACAGTCCACTCGCACCTTTACTTCGTCGACAAACTGATCCTGACTTTCACGTAAACTTTCCTGCAATCTCATTGCTTTTGTTTAATTTTGCTCTAAGAATTTTCTACCATTAAACAAAATTTAATTTAAATTACGTGCTTTTTATCATATATTTTTGAATTATAAAAGTTCTACGAATATTTCTAGACTACAAATTTGAGCGTAGCTCAACGGTCATCCATTTTACAACGAGCAATTGATCTGGATAAAATTGCCATTGATCCAGCACCATTTCAGCTCGTTCTCGGCACATCACTTTATAGAGTAAGTTAATTTGTTTATATTAAGTTTATCCAACAAATTATTTTTCAATATATAACTCTAAGAACCAGCTTACATTTAATTTTCAATTTCAAGAAGTGATAGATGAAAGAAATAGTAATATCTGTAATAAAGTCTTCTGTTCCTGCTTTGAATCATTATTAGATGATGAAAATATTGTTGCAGGTGCATACATTATTCTCGTTACTTGGCCTTAATCATGCTTATATTACAAATCGAGGAAAACTTATAGGCGTTATTTCGATCAAAGAGGTTTGACTTTAATCACTTAGAAGTATTGTGACATATATAAACAGAAATTAAGTCTAGTAATTTCCACAAGTGTTAAAATTTAAAATCTTTGAGCAACTTTATTTTATAATTTTAGTGATGAAAAGTTGCTTTTAGTTACGTGAAGCTCTTGCTAACATCTATAGCCGAGGTGCTGTACCAACTTATTCAGTACGGAAAAGTACTGTGACTTCTCCATATGGATTATCAGCAGAAAACAATGATATTCGCAACACATTAGCGAAAAGTACTCAGACAGTGCCAGATGATCATGACGAATTTAAAGATGATTTTAATACATCACATTCCGTGATAATGACATCAGGAAACATTTAGAGAACTATGAACAATGTCATGAACTGAAACATTTGTTCGTTAAAAAAAATCAGAAATACTAAATGAATTGTACAACTGCCTTTTCAGTTGGCAGGTTATAATTTAGTAATATGAGTTAATTAATGAAAGTACAGAAAGATTCTTTGAGCTGTAAGTCAAATTTCATATTAAAAATAAGTGTGACATCTAAATTTCTTTGTATTTCTACAAATTTTGCTCATTCACAATTCTGATTTCTATTTTGATGTCGATAGTAAAAGTTCTACAAACTGCTGTAGGTGGCAGAAATGGAAAGAATTGAGACATTCTGTTTTAGAACTGCGAAGTATAGAGTCATACTACCGTCTGAAACATGAGACTGAATATTCTTTGCTTTCAGTCAAACACATTCATTCATCCCCCTTTGCAACAAATTTGTCGCACAGTAGTTGTATCTATTTCCACATTTTGTAAACAACGTACGAGTTGAAGCAGTAAATTTCGTAGTTGAAGCAGTAAATTAGGTAGTTGAAGCAGTAAATTTCGTTCTCAGCGTTTCGCAAACTATTACGAGCAGGAGAGAAATAAATTTATTGCGATCGTACCTCATATAGCTGTAATATGAAGTAAACAGCATCCTAAAACCACAAAAGAATGAAAAGGTCAAAACCTTCGTTGCCTCGAAAACTGAAAGTACGAATTCAGCAATTTGGATGCTAGAACCTTTCTACCTTATTAAGAAATATACAACTTCTTTTCACTTGCACAGAATTCCATCGAGGTCAGTAATATTTTCAGTGCTGCCCTAATACTCCCCAGAACACGACAAATCATTTCCTTTTCCTTTTTCGCTCATCACACAGATCAGAACAGTTTAATCTCCATAATAATATATATTTCCTTCGCATTCACTTATGAAACTAACTGCGGTCATAAATTGCATATCATATACATATAATTCAATCCCTATGATATATGAAAGCGAGGAAAGAAAAAGGATCAGACTTCTAATATCGAAGAAATTCGAATAAAACCTGACTAGATTATAATTATCATTTTGATCAGGTTATAACTATAGTAATTTGACACGATTTGACCTTTTTTGCCGAACAATAACTAAATCACACCAGAATAAACTGTGCTAATATTATTCATTCTTTTTTACCAAATAAATTCAATTAGTACTTAGATATTAGAAGCATAATTCTTCTTCTATTGAGCTAGTTTCATTTAGGTAGTTAGTCCATCACGATTTCTAATAATTCATTCTAAATTTATAAATCTAAATTCAACAAAACGAGTGTTCTCGTTGGATATGAAGGATAAAACTTCATGACCTATCACATAAACAACAAACAACATGATTGAACAAAATTTACGAAGACACAAGAAATAAATTAAAAAAACTTATTATATGCAACAGTTATGAATAGCATCAATTTGTCTTGATAATAAGCAAAAAGTGGTCTTCGAAATGGAATCAATAAAATAAAAAATGTTAAATGATAGATTGATAAAACATACTGCAAAATGGGAAAATTGTGAAACATTGAATACTTGAAAACGAATGATGATTAGTGAAACACATCACGTGCAGTTATTTAAATTAGAGATATTATACTCTAAATTAACTACTACGAGGCTGTATCAATATCGGCAAAGTAAGCTACGCCACCAAAGACGCCAAGCAAGAAACTCGTATCCACGCTGGAGTCGCTTGTCTAATAAACTGTAGTTATTTTTACGAAGAGTTGCAATTAAATGGTCCAATGTAGCACCACTACTCATTAATGCCATTCGAAGATTCGGATGTATATTTTTATGATAACGTCTACTTTTTAATAGTTCCTCTTCTGCGACCTCAAACTTGAGCAAAGTAAAAAAAAACACATCTGAATTTGTAGATCTGTAAAACAAATCACTCAATTTTCAAATCAATCTCTCAATCCTGGATCGAATCAAATCTTATTAAAACAAATTATATTCATTATTTTGAAATAAAAATTATCGCTTTACAAATTTTAAAAACAAAACCTGAGATTCTATTCTGAATATGACTGCCAGAAGAAGTTTTGATAGCACTGCACTATGAAGAATGATACCATGAATTTGGAATAAAAATGAAAAATTTTCAAGAAACTAACATCTACAAGTTCCCTGATCAGATTCCGTAAAGCGCACTGTTTTTTTATTCCAAATATATCTTCTGCACTTAGCTCATATTTGTTCGTTAGATCAGTAGGTAATAAAAAAACTCCTCTTGATAATAATGGCATCACAGATCTATTGTTATGATTTGATTAATTTGACTTTACATATGCAATAATGTGCAATTACAATGACGTAATCAGATTGATGAAAATCTACATATTTATGTTAAATCAAACAACAAGACCTCCTTTCACCTTACTATTGAGCTATAATTTCGTGATATTTTTCATGTTCTCATAGCCACAAAAGTCATAAGTAATAACTATAGCAAATATTCTAATTGAATTGATTTTTATTCGAATATACCTGATGGAAGTTATAATTGAAATCGCGGATGACATAGAACTGGCTGCTTTTACTGCTTCTGCAGGAAGTGACACTTCATCGCATGGATGTGAACGAGAAAGAAGTTTCATGGTTAGTAGAATAAGTGAACCCGTAGTTTCTAAACCATATTTTCTGACATCATTCAGAGAACTGAATGGACGATCCCCCAAAGTTTTTTGTCTTGCAGTAACTAAATTCCGCAGTAGATGTTCTTCAAAACAGTGTTTTGAAAAACTCAGAGCTGTTGCGACTGGCTGTCTGAAAATGTTTCTAAATTGCCGATAAATTTTAGAGGAAAATACAACTTCTTCCTTCTGAATTAAACTCGAAAGATCGCTTGTTTTAAAAAAGAAAATCACCGAGGTAATGGTCCATTAGTTCGGTTGTACAAAGTATCTAATGTATCCTTCCAGAACTGCAAACGATATATTTCAGAAATTCCTGAATTGCGAACAACTTGATCACGGATCACAGCTAGTTCTACATTAAAAGCCAGTACCTGAATATAAAACTTATATCTGCCAGACATGCAACTTCTGATCAATATTACCACTACCAAAAGTAAAAAAGTGAATACCAAAAAATGACTGTACCGTAAACAATGCCGGCTGAATTTCTGATGGCATAATTAATCCAGCAACATAATTTCCGTAATCTCGTTTACGAGTTAATTGCAGACAGTACTGAAGGGCTTTGTTCAATACCTGAAGGCCAACAATAGGTACCATGTTGAGATCAATATATTTCTAACTCTGAACAAAATCAATATGAATTCAGTGCTTCTAAATAGTTACTTCTTTGGATGGACGCTTTGAATGAAATTTTTCTTGGGATGAATGTTTGGTTCCTATTGGAAATCTTTTGCAGAGATTATCACCAAAGTCTTCTTTACAAAATGCTGTTAAAAAAGAAGCCGTCTCCTTCTGAAATGTGATAATTCGTATCTCAAAACAAAAACCATTCCAAGACAGCAAAAATTTGCAATATTAACAAAAATCCGAAACTAGAATTCATGAAATTAAATGTGTTCCGGAGAAAACAAATCCACCTTCTGAAACACAAATGATATGATTGAGAAGAATGAAGTCAACAGCGACGAATGTCTAATAATCAGCTGTTGTAGTGATGAAGCTCTTCTCCTTGCAAAGTTGGAGATGAAATCTGAAATTTTAAATCCAACCACTTAAATATAAAACCACACAATATTACCACTAATCTTTCATATCACCCATATCCAAAAAATATTTTATCAACAGCGATCCATGAATATTAAAAACGAAAAATTTTTCACTCTATTACATTCCAATCATTAAGAATTTCTTGAAGAGTTTTGTTGTTTTCTACAGGTTTTTAACTATTTTTCGCAAAAAAAAAATGAAATAGAAAATAAATAGCACCTAATAATCAACAATATTTCAAATTCAAAAAAAAAGCAACGAGAAACGCATTATAACTACATAGAATATACTTCCATGGTTAGAGAATATGATTACTCCTAAATTCTAACAATGCGACATATATTTGGACTCAAAATAATCCTCAAACTGAGATTACACCGAAAGTGAAAAAAAAGTCGATCAAAAAGAACCGATATGGGTACTGAAGACTGCTGGCGTAATGCTCTGTATAAAGGGGAAAGAGTTTTTGCGCGATGATGAAACGTATAAAATGAAGGGCAGTTTCCAACTGTATCCCATGACTTTGCACGATCCTGAAATTACTGGCTAGGGCAAATATTTGCACTGCTTTTAAAGCCATGTAAGTTTGAAAACACATTTTTCAATTTTTGTTCGAAGGAACTCTAGTTACGTCATGTATATAAATGTCATATAAAGTGCTTGTAACACTTCACACAGAGTAAGAGCTAACCGCGACCAATTTGGTTACATATGTCTTCTTTCCAATTTGGTTACATAAGTCTTCTTATCATTCAGTAGTACAATTCACAAAAAACGTTGAGCTTCTCAGTTTCCAACTAAAGTTTTTTTGATTCGCTTACATTAGAAGTCAGTAGCACGCTTTAAATAATAAAACTATTTCTCAGCTGTGAAAAATTTTTGCAAATGATTTTTATTGGATGCATGGTATATTATTTTCATGTTGAACCTGTAAATCAGAACGTATCGGTTGGAATTCACCGGCGATGTAAGTAGTACTATAAATGAAAGCAACCAGGCTTAATATCGTTTGGAGTGTGATATCAAGCGGAAGATGCGTGAAGGGTTGTTCTGTCAATCGTAAATAAAATCGATGCTGCAAAAATATTTTGAAATGTAAAAAATAATGTTAGCCATCTAATTCTGAAATGTAGAAGAGCTGGATAGATACTACATAACATTCGGAAAGCAATAAACTGAGGATATCTACTGATTTAATATGACACATAACTCAGTACATTAACAATTCTACTCGCGCATGAGATAATTCTTCAATTTTCTAGTACAATACACTACAGCTCATGAAAAGTTTAAGCACAGTTTTTTGAATTTCAGGACAAGCACCATTAACATATCAGTATACAAGTGATTAACTGGCGTACCCCTCCCTTTACCTTTTAAAATATTTTCAACTTAAAAAGATGAACTTGGCAATTTCCAATAAAAAATACATAAGACATCATATCATTTCCACTAATTTCCTGATATTTCTAACCTGTGCAGCAGAATAGGCACAATGAAGCAGTGAGATAAGAGCGACTAAACAAACTCCTCGGAGAATTGACAAACTAGTTGAACTCATGGAAAATGGCTTCCGATTTTCCCGTTCGAACTTTGGTTTCGAACGAGATTTAATGTTCCATTGATTTGCACCACGTAAATCGAGCAAATCCTCAAATTATATAAAGCTTGTAATGTCTACACTGAACTAATCTCAACTACATGCACGCAAACACAACTATTGAAATTGTTATGCTAAAAGAATTTTTAGGCGATGGATATGATAAACTAAGGTAAACGAAGCATAAAATAATATGTCTCGAAATATTTCTACTAGAAAACGATACCAAATCAAGTTGAAATTATGGAAGAAAATGTAAGTTTAAGATATGATTCATTGGTGATCATAGCCAAATACCTCACAGCTGACTTCGTTTTGTCAAATTTTATTGAAAAACCGGTATCAACAACAATGGATATGATAACAACAACTTCACATCTTGCTAAATTTCAAAAGCATGTGTCAACAATGAAGATTATATAGATCACAGCTAAATAAGAGCAAAAGCGATTCATCAAGGAGACTGTGTAAAATACTCGAGTGTTCCGAAAAATGTGTGTCACATAATTTGAGATTTAAAAAAAAAAATAGAAATTCAGTTGAATAATGCGAGATCGAATACGCAAACACATCATATTCATTATAAGCAGTTCAGGCAACAAAAGGAGATGGAGCAATAAAAACAGAAAAAAATCAGCAACAAAACAATCGAAACTAAAGTTAAAAACTATGGTACTAACGAAAAAAATTCGATCATGAGTCTTTCAGTCATGGGTAGAAAAACTGCGATGACCAATTTTTTGTCTGACGAAACTTTGTTCAACGGTATTATGATTCATTATTATAGGATCACCAAACCTATGAAACAAAATAAGATATAAAAGTTGACTACACTAATCCACTGAATAACTATAAAACCTGACGAAGTAAATGAGTCTAATAAATTGTGCCAGGAAATACTACTAGTTAACAAATGCAAACTTTCAACAAGTTGCTTATCGACGTTTTAAAAATTCAATATTTTACAAATATTCCAAATGTTCCGAAGCATTTCTAATAAAAAAATCTTTATTTTTTATTAGAAATAAAGACTAAGCTCATTCAAAATTTCTGATTGAAAATTCTAATGTACTTGATGATAAAGTATTTATTACAATATTTACACAATACATTGTGAATTGTAACCTTGTATTTAATTTTTCCATGTAAGCAACAATTGTTTTCTTCATACTGTTTTTGAAATTCGCCATCAAAATACGTTCAACTATTGAGTTTAATTTTCCAAATGACGCTGATACAATGCCACCACGTTCAACAACCGTTCCACATACTCCATTATTCAAGCTCTACGAGAAAGCATTTAATTCTCTGATCTATATTAAATTAGAAGTACTGTTACGGTTACTTTGATTGTATAAATTAATTTTCATACAAGAAGTGTACCAAAAAAGGTGAAATTACTTGTTGCCAATTTTTTGTACACTTATGTCAAAAAAGCTTCACATGACTGAAACAAGAAACAATTTACTACTCTATATTTACAAAATATATATTTGCATTGAATTTGAAAGTAAAATATACTTCATTTTACTGTGATGAAAAATTAACATACTGATTTATAAATGCATCGTTCATGAATTTTACAGGTCGACATCATGATGATATTTCTTGTGTAAGTCACCAACGATCGCTTCCTCCGATCAAATATACTTTCTTCGATTGTTGGAACAACCTACAAAATTAACACTTGGAAAAAAATTATAGATGAAAAATAAAAATAAACCTACCTACTACAATGTCCATGCAGTTCATGAGCTGCAATTTATACATCTAAAATAAGAAAAACATTTAGAGACTCAAAAATCTCGCAAATGGAAGGCGCCTGCACATGACCATACCCTCACACTGGTTAAACGTGACATCCATTTTGGAACTGCTTTCATAAATGTTGCAGTTTGCTTCAATATAAGTTTCTTTGTTTTTATCTGATGACCATCGATCTGAAGAATTTAGATATTAAGACGCACCTAAAGCTATTATTAATTTATAAATGGATGCAGCAAAAATTTTGTCAATAGAAACTAGAAATGAAACACAGTAAACATCAAACAGTAAGTAAGAAACTAAAATACATGCTACAATTCACTGTAATCACTCTCCAACGAAAATGTTACCGAAAAAGCTTTCCATGAAAATCTGGAAAAAAAACAACCTAATATTATTGTATCGTTATGGGAATTACACTACAAAATCAAAGCAAAGTAAGTATGGGCATTTAATGATCTTTAAAAGATTGAAACAAAAAATACGATTGCTAAAGCCAATTCATTAATGGGAAACAATATACAGTGAAATAAGTTCCATACATTACTTTGGTTGAGAAAACATAGATTACGAACCTCAACTTCAATTAAATCTTCGCTAATAACATGTTTAGCAGTGGTATTAGGGTAACGATTCCAAAATACTGTAGCAACCTGTTCAAAAGTATAAGGCAAATGCTGAAAACAATCATAGATACGCATTTCCTCGATGACGCTGAATCCTGAAAACAGTATACAAAAATTCAGAGGGCAAAAACTTCTACTCGTCCCACTGCACGAAATTCGAAACTGTACGCAATAAAAGCTGCGTATATAACGTCGAAACAGTAAAATCATAAATAGATCAAATTCCACCATGAAGGCCTTTTCGTATGAAACTGGACAATCGATGGCTCGACCAACCTTGATCTATTCTTAAAAAGACTATCAAAACACATAGTATTAAGATTTCGCAAAAGGAAGTCATATAATATTCACAGTTTCTGCACTAAACTATTTCTAATCAATTAGCAATCGCTAAAACTAATCCTCAGTAATTCAAAAATGGCTAAAATTCGCATTATTTATTCTGATCTAAATATCGGAACAGTGAAGTTGGAAACTTCATGACACCACGATTTCTTAAGCAAAACATAACACAACTTTTCCAAGTAAGAGTGAAGAATCAGCACATTCTTCACAACGGAAAGATAAGCGAGTGAAATTTTTCAATAGCAAACAATAATATTTGAAACTATAAAAAATCGAGATGAATTTAATGATTTGCACGCTAAAAAAAATGAGATCTTATACATTATACGATGCAAGCAGCACACATTTAAAGATTTTTCCACTCATATATTGATTGTAAAGACAATACAAATTACTATTAAAAGAAAAAACTGAAACAAATGTTCAAATTTAGATTCAAGGAAAAAGAATTAGAATGACCAGTAAATTATTAATAAGTAACATATATGCACAAATAAAAAAGTCGGAGTGCTGAAATGAACATGAGCATTCAAAAAAGCAAAATTATTTAAATGCATCATTCTTACTTTTCGAATTACTAAACAAATATCACTTGTATAAATTTAAACAACTATAATATTTATTTTGCAATGAAATAATAAGTGAAGAGCAGAGTAAAATTTGTCAGAATAATAAAACGTATTAGAATAAATTACTCACTGTAACTGGTCTCCACGGTAAATTTTGCTTTACTAACTGCCACTATCGTTTACTAAACGACAAAAAAAAACCCAATGTCCCAATTTATGACGATTCATAATAAAAAATCATGAATATAAATCACAGATAATCATGAAAGGTCATTTTAGCATAAGTAACGAAAAGTGTACGAGGATGCCATTCAATATGTGACACGAATGCAGACAAATGAAAGACAATTTAAGATATTACTGAAGCGTGAGATGAAACAAATACCTCGTTTTGTTCATTTTGCACAGGAAATAGTTTTCGCATAATCACATCAAGATAAACATACGACAACTGTTTGTTCAATCGTGGATATTGAAAGATATGTAAAACATTATGTAAGCCATTACGAAATTCCTTCTGACCAATTAAGTTGATAAAACAGTGCGGCAGTTGTTCTTGAAGATATTCTAATGTCAAACGCTCTGCCAGCTCCATTCGTAGGACTTTTTCCTTAAAAAAGCATCTAAAACCGAATAACTTTTTGATGATCATAGACAAGAATTACAATATTACAATTTTACCTGCACGCTTCATAAAAGAAGAAAAAATTAATTCATATCTGTTATCAACAAAACTTGCAGAACACAATTATGGCAACTCCAGTAGCACCAGGCGGTACCACTTTGAAAAATAACTGATACTTTTTGTCACCTGATCAGTTGTTGCTGAACAACCAACACCAAAAAGCGAATCTTGTATGAACTGTAATATGTGTATACAATTCGCTTCAATGAAGAGGCTATTCAGAAATCGTCTGAAAAAAGTAGCTACAACTGCGTCAATGGTATCCTTCATTAAATGCCGAATACTGATAATGATCCATAGAGGCCATTGAACAACACCAAATAGTCGATTCAAAAGAAACAAAACAGCATCATATAAACTTCTGAAAAACTTAGGTAACTGATTTTTTTCTTTTAGAAAAAATATGAATTGAGGGCTAACTAAAACTGCTTCAAAACATTAAAAAAATAAATGATTAAATACCGAGAACACAAACTTATTTTTTACACAGGGAATTAAAATGCAAAGTGGAATAAGAATTTATAAGCATACTTTGCAACCAAATTTGGATTCACTTAAAACAGTTTGTTAGCTGGTTTTAAGAGTAATAAAAATCTATAGACTAACAAATTTAAAGTGTACAGATCAAAAATTTCATTTTTGGCAAAAAGTAGATATTTCCTTCTACCTAGTCCAGATTTTTGGTTCTGAGAAAGAATAATTTATTTGTACAGATGGACAATTATTGCCATATATATCACTCTGTAACACTTTACATGTTCGATGTGTAATTTCAGGATTGGATGATGATAGACTGCTGAAAACTGTTCACAGCTAAAGATTTAAAAAATAAGGAGTGATAGAAAAATAAATCGATACGAGCACGAAGCAAATATAAATCAGTCTAAGATCAGTGTTCATGACAAGCAATACATTTTAAACACTGCCAAATTTCTAAGTCCTTCGAACAGAGTATTCAAAATGGTATGATCATCACTAAATGCTTATCCGTTATTTCAAAATCTTGTACAAAAAAAAGAAAAAAAAAGTACTGAAAATATACCTTGTTTCCGAGTGCTCGACACGTTTAAGTGCTATTTCAGAATGAGTTAAATTATAAGGTTGTGGAGCCAACGTTGTTGCCAGAAGCGACAGAATAAACGGTTTCAAATTTTGCCCTCTTTCACGAGCAAATTTACTGGGCATTTTTTTCACAACCTAGATACCATGGAAATTTTTAGCATCACCAAACTGCTTTTAGAAGTTAAAGTAAATATCGCATACAAAGCACTAGAAAGTAAGCAAGTTACAAGAAATGTTAACAAACGAAACATTCATGAGGAACTGAGCAGTCTTGTCACAATAAATTAAAAGTGAATAATTCCTGTACAAAAACCAACATTCCAGGGGTAAAGATCAGAAATTTGTGTTGAATCCTTGAATTCCCGTTCCGTAGTAAGAAATACAAATAACAAATCAGAATGCTTTAAAACTGGCTGAAAAAAACTGTATTAAATAAAATAAACAATAATTTCAGCAATCTTAGGATAGAATAACAGCAAAGTAAAATTAAGATACACAAAAAAGATTAGCTCTGCACTTTTGTAGGTATGAAACATTTACTTCTAATTTAGTCATTCAAAAACCTGTTTTGCTAGTTGCTGAATAAAATGCTCAAAATGTTCACGATGTAATTCAACACAAGCACGACTTTTCACATTGAAAGGTCGCCTAGGTGGTAGACATTCTGTTTTAATCATATTTCCATGAAATTCTAGCAATTTCGACTCCAAAACATAAAATTCATAGAAACACCGAATTATTGACCACTGCAATAAAGATTTTTCAATATAAAATGAAACGAAACAACAAAATTAACCAGCTTAAAACTGTTCGAAAAAAATCTAACTTTTGTTTGTGGCATCTCAGTGCTTGATAGAAATGTTTCGTTGCTTTCGTGTTTTACATCACATTGTTGAACCGAGATAACATACACATACATTGTATGACCTGTTTACAGCTAGTTTCTCAAAAAAATATTGTCTTTTGATCAGCATAATTTATAAATTAAAACATTCCAAATGAGCATAACATACCAGTAACAGGATCTCGCCGTGGTTGAATATGTGGAATAGTGATGTTCCACTGACCTATATCACGCTCCGGAATAAACATTGGTAATTCATATGCGTTGCTCATATCAATCTGTTGTTCAGCAAACTTTTCAACAGGCTAAAAATTCCAATAAAATTTATGAAATGACTGAATGCAGGTCTTGGTTTTGAAAAATGAAAAGAATAACAAAATAAAGAAAAAATTACTACATACCCGATTAGACATAATCGTCTCCTCATTTTTATCTTCCTCAATGTTTAATAAAAGCTGAAAGTTTCAAAATATGTCTAAAATGATGTGAAAATATGATGGCAAAACCCCATTAAATGAAAAATGCTGACCAAAAAACATGCTAAATAATTCAACCAAATTGCTTGATAGTTTTTGCACTGACTTGAAAAGCTGATATTACCATATTTTGTAATGATGATGCCGAATTTACGTTTTGGACGATTTCTGTGCTAGTTTCAGTCTGATTAGTTCTTTCAAGCTGTGACAACACTACATCACTTAATTGATAGGCAGACGGATCTAGCAACGACTCATCTGTAGCTGTTGGTGATACCATTCGCCAAAAGCGATTTCTGAAATTATATTTCAAAAAATCAACCAAAGTCCAATTAACTAAAGCATAAATAAACATAATAAAATGATTGAAAAAGTACCTTATTACGTACTATGATTAAAAGTTTCTACCTAATTAGACGATATTGTTTTGCAGTTGCGGCATTTTATCATGTCTTATAACTGAATTTTTCATTTACGAGAGGAAAAATCAACAATGTTGATGAAATCGTACTTTAAAAATTATTTTCTATGATTTAAAAAATAACCGGAGTTGCACTGTTACTAAGGTCCAAAAACAAGTAAAAATGTATTATTAGTAAAGTTCATGTATAAGTGACAAATAATACACCACAAACCTGAACTGTGTAAGAGTGTAGTTAGATTCAATCGTGGGTAAAAGGCGACAATCCGAAGATGAACGCTCAATTGAAGCATATAAGTCATCGACACTAACAGGTGGTGAACCACATAAATTACCTAAAAAGCATTCTGACTGGCAAAATGGTATCGCATATTCGCATTGCATCCGTTTGTACACCACTTGGAAAGCCTAAAAATTATATACGATAATGACATGTTTTAGGAATCTCAATATATTAACATTGCCTATAAATACGGGAATTTATATCAACTTCTCCAAAACTTATGAAAAACTGAAATAAATCTTAATTCAAAAGACTGAAAACTATACTTTTTCTAAACATCGATCAATCAACTGAAAATTATGTAGTTCCACTGCATCCTTGAACTCACAAACAATATCAATTGGCATGTTGATTTTCTCTGGTGCACCATCAGCAATATATTTAGTAAACACTTGCCAAACATCATGGTGAAGTTCATTCAGTGCAACATCATCATTCTGAAAAGAGAATGAACGTTGTAATGTTTTCTTTAAATAGTTTCTCCAGACACCCAGCCTACAAGTCATTTCACTTATGATTTTATAGAACTAGATTTTTTTTTGTCCACGCTTTTTAAAAAATGGGCACTTTAACAGTCTTTTTGCAATTCACAAACATATTCTGCAAACTATTTGCTACGGTATTTAAAGAAAAATTAAAAACAATTATACAGGTGTATTGAGCATTCGTCTATGCGCATCTCCAGCATAAATCAAAAAATCTAAATCATTTAGTGAGGCATGAATATCATTTAAGTAAGCCCTGAATATAAGTAGCTGTCGTGTATCTCGTAGCATATCACTAAGTTTCAACTGCAACAGTGAATCTGGAGTATCACGTAAGGAATAACCAGTAAACCCACTTAAAATTTCCACTTTTGCAGTTTTCTGAAAAACTATGAAGTAAATACAAATATTAAGCAAATGCCAAAACATATCTTACCTTATTATCAAAAAAAGTGCAGCGTGAAAATAAAAAGCTTCTACTGCTTACACAAAGTGTGAAGCCACTGGGTATTTCTTGTTTCTCTAGCAACAGCTTGTTGTGAGTATGGAGTACGAGTTTTTTCGCCACTCTGATACAAAGATTACCTGTGACATATGCTGATATTTCAGAACATTTGAGTCGAATAAAAATACCAGCATGCGATTAAGAGTGTCAGGATCAGCAATTAAATCCAAAAAGGGAAGAAAAAAGGAAAATACAAATAGTTCTCGCAGAAAATGACGACATACATGACTCGGCCATGGACGCTAAAACTACTCAAATAATAATCCAGAAGGAACATGGCATAATTATTGAAGAACATAGCAGCATGAGCAAAACTTAACCAAAATAAATCAAACTTAAATCCTGAAACAATTTTAAAACCCTCTGTTAGTTAGAAATTAAGTGTTCGAGGTTGTTTAAGCAGAACTAAATTAGAATTTCACAAACGTATAGTGATGTGTCAAGTTATTGAAAAATAATGTTCTATTTTCGATTTTCCTCGTTCATGCATGTCAGTTATACTACCAAAGTGAACGAGAGTAAGCTGGAGATGAAAAGTGTACGGAACAAATGAGCACTATGTCAAATAGAGAAACTAAAGTTCAGTTAGCAATAAGATCTCTTTGTTCAAGGGACACTACTAGTATAAAAACAATACCGTATGATTAGAAAGTGTGTCGCGGAAAGGGGCATCATCATCATTAGAATGACCTGCAATACGACTCTCGTCTACCACAAGGCCAACTATATGATCAGCTAACTGACGAAGATAATCAACTTCATTTTGCCTCGAACTCAGAGCAAAATGCACATCTGGCAGACCCTCCAAAATTTTCGTCTCAAACATTTGAGACGACAATACCTAGAAAATCCAAAAAAATGTAGGGTTAAATAAAGCCAATACTAAACATTAGAAAATACCATAGATAAATCAACTGACTTCTTGCAAAATCAAATTCTAGCATTCACATGCATTTTTCCAGTACTAACATTTTTATTCACAGCTCCAGCCATATGATGAATTTTTTCGCAATGCGCGACTGTCAAAGGTATTACTTCAAATAAGATCACTGAAGACAAATCAATCTTCTGGAAGCGCAAGTACAAAATAGCGACGGCATAACGAATCTGATACCTTAATTTAAAAAAATAAAGATCGAAATTAATTATTTTTCAAGCAATTTTATGGTTTGGATGCTCAACTAAGTTTAAATAATGCAATGTCGTGTTCCGAACACTTCAAAATCTTGACACGATGATCTTAGGAATTTAAGAATAGTAAGAAACACCTGATCTCATTTACAAACGTCCCATCATCGCTTATACTGGTCTTATACCAAACGTTGATGTAATTATCGATAAGCTGTTCAATTAAGTCTTCGAGCAACTCATTCACTGATTCCGGTATAGTTACACCTGAAAATGAGACGTTATACGCTCACCTTCATTGTCTGTCATAAGCACCTCGTAAACTGAATCATAAGTTCACCTCAGTATAACTCAGCTTATACGATAGGCTACGCAGCTATAACTTCTTGAAGAATGATTTAAAAAGCATCATAAAAAAGTGACAATCATTCACAAATTTGGTCACTACATGACTTGTTAAAAATCGAATAACAGGCAGTATAAAATAAAAATTTAGCTTTTGCCAACGAACTACGAAACCTTTCCATGGAAGACTACGGATCTGACTATTTCTAGGATCCACATGAGGGAAATCAGGTCTGTTCGAATTCAACTTTTCATTGAGATAATTTTCAAAGAAATCCCATAAGAATTCTCCTTTTGAACAAGTCATTAAATAACTTGCTACTATACAACCAACAGTCAAAGCCAAACAATGTGCAGTGATCCACAATAAGCTGAAAAACACAGACAACTAACGGAGCTGACTTCTTCTGGCAACTAGATTATATGAAACTAGCTTGCATTTGAGATGAATAAAAGTAGAGAATTAAAGAATACCTTAGCTTCCAAAAGATAAGAGCTAGCATCAACACTACCCAGATTAATCTTATATTAGTAGCTGCCCATAGATACTCCCAACATACAATTAACGTTTTCATCAGGCACGCATGACAAGAATGAGCTGAAAATAAATGACTGCCAAAAACTAATGCCATTGTACTTGCTGAGCCGGTAATTTTAATTGTGGTTCATTGTGAAGTGACCAATTCACAATATAAAAGCAATATCCTATTTGAAATGCAGCGCTTAAACAAACATGTCTAAGATCAGTAGCCTAGTTAGGTCCTTGCTAGGCAGACACAACTGTTCTAAACTAAACTAAGACTACAGAAGAATGATCTTTGACTTAAACTTCTAGAAGATCCACCTGTAGATATGCAGAAATAGGTAACTCTAACCATATCGATCGATCGAGTTTCAAGAGATAGTATAATAGCGCATCAAAAACTTTCGATCAAAATATTTATTCAACAGCACATTTTTAAAAACACTGTGTGAAACATATTTTACACGGCAATGTTTACTATTCCAAAGCTTCCTTATGACGCAATACGAACAACATTACCAATAATTATTGATTCATTTATGTTGAAATGTTGAGCAAAGCTGAGTAAAAAAAATGAGGATTTTCAGAACACACTTATATGAAAAGAACAATGCTTTACACCCCAAAATGGTGGAAATCAATTGGAGATAAATATCCATAAGTAAAAATTTCGTAATTGCAAATATACGAAATAAATAATCAAACTGTAACAAAATTCAAACATTGAAGATGTTAGATTGTGTTAATAAACTGAAAACAATAAAAGAGCAACATTTATCAGTGATATTTAGATGTTTAGTCCCAGTCCAAGATTCCACCATTAAAACAAATTTACCATTTTTGAGCGTACTTTCGAGAGAGACCATACTTTCTTCTTACTTGACTTTTTTTCCATATTCGGCAGCGTCGGCCTTTTCACTTTATATGCAGCTGTTCCCCCAATTCGTGACCCTCGAAGTTCTGCACAGAATGGCAATAGAGCTGGCTGACGTAGGAATAAACCGCGCCCTTCAGGAGTATGGGCTTGAAGACGTACTTCTCCTCGTCGAGCTGTAACACAAACCCAACCTAAAGAGGAAAGTACGACATCTCCGCAACCTTTCCATGAGCCAGAGCTCTTCAAAAGCAATTCACTACCTTTCAGCTGAAAAAAAAACAGCATCCTTATCGTTGGAAATAAATTTTGACAAGTCTAAAATATCTATATTAATTCGATGATTGTTCACATAACATCAGAAACAAATTAAAACTGACATCAGGAAATCGAGCTATTCTTTCTGCACTTCCACTAGGAATAACAAGAAGTTGGCTACCCAAATATTTTTTACGAAAAGAAGAGCATTCTGGCGTCTTTTTTACAAAAATTGGCAATCGTTCACTAGCAAATACCGTAAGCTGAAAAATACTGAATATCAAAGTGAAGAATAGTAATTAAAGAGAAACTGGAAAACGCGTTTTAATTTTAGATGAATTGAAAGCAACATTTTTTAAAATATAAAACAGTGTGTCGCTGCCAAAATTCAATAAAAAATTTGTATAAACAGACTAGAGCGCCTGAGCGTCGTTCTGGATGATCTTTTCCTGACAGAGATTGCGAGATTACTGGTAAACTGACGACATCAATCTGCGCAACACCACCAAGAAGAATAGATTCCTCAGGATGCAGAATAAATGTTCGAGGCAAAACCATTTTTCGAGGTAAAAGCAAGACTAGTTCGTCCAGTGTAAACAAATTAAGAATCTGAACAAAACGAGTAGCAATAAAAATTTACCCGAAAAGGATAATTGAAATGAATAAAGAAGTTAAAACGTCAATTTCCAAAATGAGTCAAGTCTTTAAAAAATAATATCATAAAATAAATCAAGGAACCTTGAAAAATAGCTTTTTAAATCCATTACTAGACTCGTACTCAAACAAGTTTGAATGCTCACTTCAGTGAGTTCAATGATTTCAATGATACCATGATTATTTTTGCTACTCCATAAAACTTGCAACAAACCCAGCCCATTAAAAAAAATTAAAAACTGAACGTATCAGAATTGTACTTTCATTTGTAAACACAAAATCGCTTACTAAAAACGATATAGACAGAAATCCACACACAAATTAATACAATATACATAAGAAAATATTCAGCATACCTGATCTGAACTAACGGTTCCAGGAGTATCGTAACACCACTTTCCTTTTGCAAAAATCATTGAATGAGGGTCAAATCTGAACAAAACATTATTTGAATTGAATCGTCTTACGCCATCGTGGATATCTAATTGCTCACTTTTCAAAGCAGTTTACATATCTAGCTTTTGTAATATACAAGATAACTTAAAAATTTCAATGAAGGAACAAAATTAGATGCGGAATAGTTACACTCGCTTTGACTTCGAAGTTTCTTCCGAACCAACAAATACAGAATGTAGAGAAGGAGGTTGTAATTCTCGTTCACGGTCCTACAAAACTGAATTGAAATGAATAAAAAACTGAAAACGTTAATTTACAAAATGACTGGAGTTTTAAGGCAAATAATAATAATAATAACTTCATAAAAAAACCAGTGAATCTTGAAAAACAGTTTTAAAAACTACAATATATATGCTGAATCTTTAAATATGCAGGAAACAAACTTTGAAAGAATTTTCTATAGTAGCTTGCAAAGTAGCATATTTTATATCACCAGTTTGCATGTATAAATTGTGCCGCATGCAAGCTTCTTTCTTCTGCCATGCTTGATTCGATAACAATCTGCATACATTTAGCTACCAAATAAAAGTACCGAAAAGAAGAGACCAATAGATGATCAAAGCGATCAATTTAAAAAAATTTTCGAAAATTTAGACGACTTATTGTCGTCGAAAACCAATCAAAAAAGTAAAATTTAATAATAGCAACTTAAAGAGTAACCTCCGTCGTCTAATCTCCAATTTGTGGGGCGTGGGATTCATAACTGGAAATTTCAGCAAGGAAACAGTAGTACCAGGCCAAGGTGTTACAGCCGCACGCTCTACAAGATCCACTGCACGTACTTTACAAAGATCAGATTGCAATAATGCATTAAAAAGTGTCCTAAAAATAAAAATCACAGAGACAGATGTTGGAAATTTTAAAAAAATTTGTAGTCAAATATTGAAAAAGAAACTATTTCTTCGTCAATCAGAATGGCACTGATAAAATAGCCATTTAAAATATGAACTAGAGAGAACTTTTGTAGGTGAGAACACGGTGTTAACTGAAAGTGATGACATATGATAATTTTGGTGACTTGAGTGGTACAAAAAAAAGTAATTTTAATCAATGAAAAAAGTACGATTTGCCTGCATTTGTACATCCCACCAAATACATATCATTTCGTAAAGTTTCCCGAGTTGAAAACTTCAAGAAGATATTCTGTAACATGAAAAATAATACCTATTTGAACGACTGGACTCCCAAGAAATGACCTTTTTATTAGAATCAACATAATTTTTAGTTCTTATTCTAAGTGTTAGGTCACAGAAATAATAAAAAACCCTGTTTAACATGCCAATATAATGAGTAGACTTTTTCCATAACTCCTCATCACAAGCATGTTGACTAATTAGATGCATAAGAAAGAATAATGTTGATGAAAAGTAAAACTTTGCTAAAACTTACAGTTACGAGACTTTCTACACCATATCCTGTTTTTGCACTAATCAAAGATATATTCAAGATATTGAAATTCCTACTGAATCCTGCTTTTTGCAGTTCAGCAAACAGAACTTGTCGATAATGCCGCAAAAAACCAGGTCGGGCATCCGGTGGTAGAAGATCAACTTTATTTCCTAAAACTGCAGTAATAGCTTCAAAAATAAAACTGACAACGAAAACAACACCAGGCCGGTGAGATTTACTGCTTTTTTACATGCCTAAAAATTCTATAACTTATTCCGTACCAGATGCTGACACCTTACAAGTGATTTTTCGCAAGAGGAAATAATAAACCCTGTAAGAATACATATTCTGAATTTTCAGAAACTTTCAGGATTGTACATTATTTATCCATCGCTGTCTCTCACATTTTTTATCAAATCACTTCAGTGCAAAAATAAGTTTCAGTGTTTATTGCTAAAAAAATAGAACGAATTGGAATTTTCGTATTAAGGAATAAATGCAACAAAAAACGTACCAACAACAATCATTGGTTTCTGATACCCGATTATCTGCGGTAATTCAGAATAAATGGATCCAGGAAAATCAGTCATGTCTACAACGAATATTATCAACGCTTCCTGCTTTAGTTTTAAATGTTCCATCATTGACCGATAATCCACTTCACAAACATTAACATTCAACTACAATTTCAATCAAAATAGCCATTAAATTCGGAAAAATTTGTCATGTTGTAGAAAAAATATGCAAGCTACTGTGCTTTCGTTAATTTGAATTTCCACAAAACCTCAATTTTTCCACAAGACTTCAATTCCAATTAGTATCTACAGAATAAACATGGAATAAAACACAGTAAGAGCCAATTAATAAGCTAACCAATTAATGTAAATGTATGAACAAATGAAACAGATTTAAATCTCAGTTACAGAGTATTATGGAATAAATGTAGGACAATTTGAGCTTTTTATTTCAAAATACTCAAGTATAATGAAAAATTTAGCGAAAAAAACTCGACAGAAAAACAAACCAAGAAGTTGTGTTTTTTCAACATATAACACCTACGACATATTTGATCCTTATAATCATTAAGTTTCAAAAAAATTTCTGCAGGCAAAAAACCAGGAAGAGAAGCGTCCTGAAAACAAGAAATTTACTGGCGAAGCACTGCTATACATTTCGGTTGAATACCAATATTTGCAGAAGTAAGAAAGCACTTCAAAACATAGTAATTATGATCATCATTATAATGATGGCGTGCATAATAAATATGATCATACTCACCAAAAACAACTATTAGACATTTTACCCTCAATTAGCACTTTTTACCTGACAATGGAAATTCGCCCCACAAGAACAACAACGTTTATTTGAAATGGGAACTGATGAATCAACTGAACCATAATCATCAAAAATTTCATCATCAACGTCATTACACTGAAGGATGTATATCGAACAAAAATGATGATAGAAAATTGCAGAAAAGATGATAGAAATTTGGATTCATAAGGTAATGAAAATTAGAAATAAGTTTTCTGTTCTTTTTTTATTTAACATCAGAAAAAAATTAAACAATGAATTTTTCTTAAAATTCAAATAAATTTTCAGCAAAAACTTATACATGGACATGGTGGAGCATAGAATAAAATTAAACAAACTTTTGGGTCAGTACTTTGCATCGGAAGTTGAAAATCAATTTCCTCAACAGCGTCTTCAGAACCATAACGAACTACTTCTGCACAATCGACGCTAAAATTTTCGAATTATTTCACACCTTTATACTCCAGAATCATCCATGGCATGTCTTTTATAAAATGATAACACGCTATCATCTTGAATATTAAAAAACTACTTTTCTAATTCTCCGCCAGGAATATCAAAAGTAGAACCAACAACGAATTCGTCAACAATTTTGTCACCGCAAACATAAAAACCACGATCAAATCCAGGTTTTGATAATGGTAGAGAATCTTCGACAGCACTATTCGAAATGTTAAAATCAGCCTTCAACAAAAATGAACCAGCTAATGGAAGATCCTGCAAAAAATAAGAACTGATAGTTTAGCGAATCTGATTTTCCTTTTGCCAAACCTTTTATCCCAGTATGTTACTACACAACCAAATTTTATGATCAGTAAGAGCATGTAACGTAAAGAAAAATGAATTCAAATTTATGAAACTCCGACTGGCAGAACATTAGAAAATTGGTAGATAAAACAAAGAAACCAATAAAAAAAATCTAAAATATATGATTGACTACTACCATATAAATTAAAATGCAAAAATTACATCCTTTTCTTGTTGACCACTTTCCCTTCCAGGAATTGATCCTAAATTTCTTTGTTCGTCGTTACTTTTCATGACTTCTTGTTGCGCAACAATCGTAGCATATTTATCAGCATTTATCCTGAAATTGATGAACTAAAATGACTGTCATCGAGCACTCCGAATAATTAAAATCGGGGCATGAATAGCAATCCTTCAAAATATAACACGAAATAAAGCCATACTTCAGATATCTACTGGCAGATAATGAATCAACAGTTACTGGAGTAGACTCTTGATTCTGCTTTAAACGAATTTCTAATCGTGTCTGAATCAGATCACTTATTTGTGCAACTGAAGGTGTATGCGACGGAATTTTTGGAGAAATATGTGATTTTCGTCTCAAACGTTGAGAGAATGGCTGAGTACGATACCGTATGAGCACCAAAGAAAATGAAAACAGCTCAACGGTTTCAAAAAATTTGCCCAACATGCCAATATACTCGTAGATTATTATGCTCTTAAACAACATATACCAGCTTTACTTTTACTTTCACCTTATTTTCACCTACAAAATCTTTTAAGCTAGCAACCTTTAGAAACGATGCATGATATGTTTTATTTCTATTGCAATATTTTAAACAGAAAATGTAACAATATTACGAAGTAAAAATTACTAAAAAAGAAAAATTTCCAAATTTCTGAAATATGTAAACAAATAATGTAATACTAATGTTTATTGAAAATAACTTATTCAAAACCAGTTTCAAGCGTAATAATACCTTTAACCTGAAAAAGAGGCTAAAAATAAATGCCGATCTATTTCACCAATTTTTGCACTTTTGCCAAAGTCGTCCTCTATCACCTGAAAAATACTTAGAATATTTCAGGAAGTCAATCCAAGTATTTGATTTTAAACAAGTTTAGTATACTTCAATATCGTTGAATATATCGTGTAACTGAATTATGTTATGCGCAAAGATGAAGATAACAAATGCAGCAACTATTATCGGCAGCAGCAGTGGTATGGCGATAGCCCAGTACTTTGCAGGTACGTAAGTCCAATATATTGATTCCAGATACGGTGTAGGGATGAAAGCCCAAATAAGATATAGTGTCAAAGTGAACCAAGAACAAATAAATAATGCAAAACCTGAAATATGTCCCAAAATATATGAAGTTGAAACACCATCTTTTACCTTTCTTCCTTATAAATTTGTCAACAAGAACTCTAATGAAAAAAAATCCTCTAAATTAATGCTAGCGTTTTTGATGCTAAAATAAATTATGTAAAAAAGGCTCTCGAATTGCTAAAGCTGACATAAAATAGGAAAAAATGAATGAATTGCAAATTACACAAATCTCTATTAGTTGTAAAATGACATAGCAAAAATTTCCAGCAATTCTTCCTTCACAATTCCTACAAAGTAAGTAAAGTCAATCCCTAACTCCACCATTAGCTTCACAACTAACTAAGAGCTATAATACTTGACGCACCATATATCCCTCGAGCAGGTGAGGGACTGGGTGAGGCATATGATGAATTAAAATCTGAGCGGTCTTCTAGTATTTCGTCGCATGTAGACATGCTGTCCCCTGCATTTGCTGAAAGTGACAAATTAAGTTCTAAACAACCACATACTTAAAAGATGAATATTCATCAATCCGAACAAACATACAGAGCTAGGCATCCTAACTAATGAAAATGAAACTCACTTCGCAATAAGCTTATAAGAAAAAATACAAAAATGAATGCGACATTTCTAGTTTCAAAATTCAAGCGAGAGATAAAAACATCGGACAAAACTTAGTTTATGGGATTTATTTAACCGCAACTATCCACGACACAACAAATGAATAGGCAATTTGCCATTTATTGTAATCATAGGTAGACATTTTATCTCAAAATATAAACTTGTTACTTGTTCTTCTGCATCAAATCTTATGCCCAATTACAAATATTTGGATACGAATTTTTAACACGAATAAATAACCACGGAACGAAAAAGAACATCAACAGAAATGATAAAGCAAAAATATGGCAATGCTAATTTAGCCAAAAAACAATCAAGACGCTCTAAAATATAAAAATCAATCCCAATCATGATCACTGTTTTTATCCGTGGCAACATAATCATCGATTTCTTCGTTAGCTGGAGGTGGAGGTATTCGAGCACTAATTTGAGCAAATGCCCCTTCCTTGAACTGAGATCTTGAGCAATTTTGGTCCTTTGAATTCTTCCCAAATATTCCTAAAGATTTTCGGACAAATTCAGTAACTTTATGAAACAATAAATACCAACTGTACCCAATTCACACACATTTGACGAAATCACGATTAGTAGAAGTGAAGTACCTTTGCGTCTTTGTTCTAAAGCCTTAGTCAAAGAAGACATCAGATCATTGTTACATGACACAGCAGTTATAGTATGACTGGGTAAAGCCGATGCATCATCAGCTAAAACTTCTTCCTGAAATTGCAAAAATAATAACCCGATCCGAATAAAATCTTAACGAATCATGAGACAAATTAACTAATTCAACTTTTGAATTTCATTTACAGTCCACAGATCTTTCAACATATTTGCAAAACACTGCCACAGTAAATTTAAAGTATCTTTGAAAACAGCATACCCTTTTCCTTATTGATCGCAATTTCGCATTTTTCGCTCCTCCGGCTCTACGTATTGCTTCCATTAAATTAGCTCTATCATCACAAGCCGCTGTTGGTCGATGCGATGATTTAAATGTTATAGTTTCGGATGCTTGTTGCAATGACGGTGGTGGTGGTGGAGGAGGAGGTGGTGGAGGCGGTGGTATCAAATAACTTCCGGCTGTAAAGATGAAACTATATTCCAGAAGTGAAAAAAATGATTATTATATCACATATTGGACGAAACAAAATATATAAAAGTGATTTTATATTGTTATTAAATAGTACAATATAAAACATTGATGCCCGCTATTTCTACAAAGTTCAATGATACTAACTAATATAAAAGTTGAAAAACAAATCATTTTAAGCAACAAATAGCAGGGATCATGTATAACATCAAGTTTACAAATAAATATTTCGTAGAATGAGTTACATAAAACTAGGCACTAGTTTCATCACATCAGTTTCAACTCAGATTAACACTACAATAAAATACCAGAGCTCCGCATCGAAATATTACTAAGATAATTTTACCATATGTAGACTTTGCTGATTCCAACATGTCATTGTTGAAGTCTGACTCCAGTTTTCCAGGATCATTACATGGTTTTTCATATGAAGCTTCGAGAGAATCCGTACCAACACTACTATCATCTACTTTTTGTACAGAATTTTCAGTAGGCACAATCAATAGATCAGGACCTTCAGACAATTTATTTTCGACATGATTATGCAACGATGTAGTTGGAGAATCAACAACAGGCAATATATTTTCTGGCAACTTCTCAGGTGACAAACCTCTAGTGAAATCTACAACAAAAAACAACTATAAAGAAAGGTAAACTGATAGAACTTTTTTCTTTGCATAAGTTTCGAAAAAATTTTTGGTAAAATAAGCACAATTTAGAAAAGATGGTGGAATAATAAAGCAAGCTTGTAGCAATCAAATAATCAACAAGAAGAAGGAAAAGCTAATAAAACTAAAAGTTACTTGTAGAAGCAAACAATAAATCAGGAAAGCTGAAATTTTGAAGTGAACCAAATTCTGGATGATACTGAAGTGGATCTGTTTTTTGTTTCGGGCTGACAAATAGCGTTGAGTCTTCAGATGATGGTGTAATTTTCTGTAGGTCAAATGCTGAACCAGTACACTGAAATGAGAATACGTTGGCAAGGAAAACAAAAAGAAGCTACAGCAAATAGAAATGAGTGGCTTAGAACCACTCTGCATACAAGAGAAGTTAGCAAAATCAAGGAAAATTGAGCATATTCTGCACACTTGTCAGTAACATTACTTAATGCATGTGACAGATTTATCCTAAGAAATGGCGTTACTAAGCCACTCTAAGTAAGCAATCGACTCCACCTCAGTTTTCACATTGTCAAACGGATCGACAAATCGATAATCCGCATACACATTTACAGCCGTATTGAACAGTAGTAAATCAGCAACTGAATAAAGGTTATCCGGAATCTTCCTGTCTATAAATAGAAAATTCATTCTTTTCATTTCTTCCCACTGAAACTTGTCAAAATAAAATTCGTGCTTACTGCTATGCTATGGTTAAAAATCAGATAAATAAGAAACTATTTCGTTTTGATCACGAATTGGATCAGTCAACTGAAAAGAAAATTAATTACCAGTTTTATTAGACCTTATGTGTTTTTCAGTGAAGCGGTAAAAATATCCCTTGTCAGCCAAAACTGCGCTGATATTTTTAGATTCATTAAAATCACGTTTGCCAATTTTCAATGATTTTTTTAATAAATTTACATCAGCACAGATATTTTTGCTTATCACAGTATGCAGACAGTCGTTCCTGATCTCAATAAATTTTCCTGGAGCATTTATGACAACTTCATCAGTCATCTATAAAATTAATAAAGACTTTTATCACATATTATTAGTTATGAAATCTTCTCAACATTTTGCTTTACTTTTTAAAGTCCCAAGTCTCAAGCATCATATACAAAACAGTACAAATGAAAGAAATAACGAATAGAATGAAAGTGTTTATCTGATAAGGAAAAATTCCTCGTTTACCTTTCTAATTTGTTCCACTTTCTTAGCAACTCTTCTCACATCAATCTGAACACGATCTGCACGGTCACTAAAATCACTTATTCTTTTCAATAACTGGTCGAATACTTTACCCGACAGTGAAAGCAGCTGTTCCAAACTACAGACAATGTCTTCCACAATTTGTACACGGTTAGCATCTGATGAAACAATTGAAACAGACATAAGGCGATCTCTCAAAGGTTCGATTCCACTTCGTCAATTCATCTGCTTCATCTGCTAAATAAAATCACATCTTTCATACACTCGAATTTTTGTAACACTGTATACAATAATAAAAATTATTCACTGAAAAGGTCATTAAAGAATCGACTTCACTTGCGCACTCCTAAAAAACTTTTTTTCGAACAAATAGATATCATTTGGTTTCCCATAATTCCAGAGTATTAATTTCTAATGTCTTTTTTTTACTTGGCCTCATCTCCACTTTTACTTTATTCAAACCCCTACAGTTATGATTTACTGTTTTTGAAATTAAGTCACGAAAAAAACTGTACAGGAAATCGCAGAAGATTATGCATATTTTAATCGGCAAGCACTATTAGTGATAAATTTACGTATTCGAACTTAAAAGCTATAAAAATGGTGCAGAATCATACAAATATTCATTGCTATCTTTCTCATCAAGCAAACTGGTGCATTTGTATGGTGAATGCATAATACGAGCTGCTCAGTGATGGCATTTCTGTACAGCTGCTTATTTTGTAAGTCCTTCCAAGTCATATGTGCTTAAAATCTAACATGGCTAAATTCAGGATATGCGAAAAAAGTGCTTCTGCCAGATTGTCTAGCAGACAAAAAGAAGTAGCCAAATGACATAAGTAAAAAGTGTAAAAAATTTACTATCCAGAAAGTTAGCTATTAAAAGCAAAATTTACACGCTATGAAAACTAGCATCCTAGATGTATGGACTGTGCAAAAAATTAACGAAAAAAAAAAAACCATTTTCAGTGACACTGTGCACACTTCTTAATTCAGTCTTGCTAAGTGTTATAATTGTGTTATGTAAAGGGAAAAATAAGGCAAAGTCTGAAAGAGTAATGTTGCAAAACACTCTGGACAAAGGTCAAAAGGTAAGCAATACAGTTAATCATATTTCTACCTTATATTGCTTTTTGAATTTGTGCTTTTATTACTTGTTGCTAAATGAAATTCTTCATTCCTTTGTTCTGAAATAATATGAAAGAATTTTGGTTATATTAAATTACTTTCAGAAATAGTAATAATATGAATAAGAGATAGGTTCACTTATTATTATTCATAAAGAGTGATTGATTTCAGCAATAATAATACTGTTCAAAGGTTTTTATTAACAAACATTGTCATTAATGTTTGTTTGCTAAAATACAATACTATTCTTGAAAATACTACATACTTCTGAAAAATTTCGCGATTCATCATTTTGTTTGCATATTTCTTTTTTTAATTCAATTTTTATTAATATGATTGAGTATTCAAATTTAGGCGCCTACAGTTCAGCCCTGTCATCATGTTTCTCAGATTATTAGTTCTGAAACATTGAAAACTTGTCAAGCTCCTGTGTCGATACAACCTCGAAAAATGTGGAACAAGTTGGAAACTAGACTGATGTCAAAGCAAGCCACACGACAGGACAAAAAAGTAGCAATCAAAAGTGAAAGTATGCATTTATAACTTAATAATTATTCAGAAATTTATTGCTATTTGATCTATTTTCGATTGGTGAATGATACTGAACTGAAGGATGAATTTATTTGCAATTAACTTTTATCAGGAAAGAAAAGTGCAGAAAAAGATGTCAGTAAGACACAGATCGATTCGGACTCAGAAGAAGTCACCACTTTAATCGTTCCCATACGGCTTGATCACACACAACGAAGTATATCTCAAAAAGTAAGTAAAACTTCCAAACTGCTAGCCTTTAGAAAAATAGACCTGAAAATTTTATGATTAATGAAGTAGAAGATATGGTTATTATTGCATAAATATATTATTGAACATTTTTTGAGATTGCACAAATGCTAAGAGACATACCAGTTAATTGAGTGTCGCTTACAGTCAACGTATGAATCCAATAACTTCAAAGATTATAATGCTGCTTATAAAAAGACTTTTTGATAATGATATATAATGTGTCAAGACTGAGCAGTTGAAGTATATTACAATCAGTTGAATCAACAATCATTGGTAATTTTGAAAGTAGACTAAAACCGATATTGGATAAGCAGCTGTGTTGCGCAAGCTGTTAAAATTTGCACTGGAAGTCTTTGTTTTTTTGATAAAGCTTTTAAAATTAGACACAGATGTGACACAATTATGCTAGTTAATAAGCGTAACAAATAGTTGTACAGTTTATCTTCAAATATTTTTAAAATCAAATTTTACCTTCGAATAATTGCTAGTGTTAATATATCGTTGTCATAGACTTTGGTTGTAAAAAAATGGTGGTAAGGCTAAAATTTTTAAGGTGGATGACAGTGCTGACACAGGTGAATTCGTTGATGAACTTTCGGAAGATCGAGAGCGTAGTGATAGTGAATAACTTGGGAGCATTTGTATGACTGTGCTCATTAACTTTTTCTAAAAAGTATGCTTGAATTTGATAATATAAAATTTTAAAAATTGAGCACTAAGTCCATTGCATGCATAGGAATCTATTTGTTTCATTATTTATATCTCCAGCTGAGATAGCAGTTACATTTTTTTATTGCATTCCTCACTTTACAGCAAGAGATATTTGTATTATTTTGACAGATGTCAGAAAAAATTGAAGTTAAAAGAATAAAAAAAGCTTTCTAAACTTCATTCATAATTTAGAGAAAGAGATTTAAGTACTTTTTCTTCTTCTTCTAGAAAAGAAGAAAAAACAAAATGAGATAGAAAAAGGAGTTATTGTTTGTAGATAATTGTTTTCCAATTATTGTTTTCGTGGACTCTGATCTGGACTTGATTATAGAGTTTGATTTACACGCAGTGTGATAAATAATTTTGAAAAATGAAAAATGATTTCAATAATATGTCTTCACTTTTTGTCTTGCGATCATCTGCTTGATCCATTGAATTTTTTAAATTATTGCTTCATGTAACTGTTATCATGGTGATATGTTTATAACACTTCATGATTAAGATATGATTACTAATTTCTATTTGTAACACTCGAATATTCAGTCTTCAATTGATATAACTATATTGCAGCATGATTTTTTTGAAATATATTAGAAATGAAAAAATAGATTTAATGACGGAAGTTAATAGGCAACAGTTTGTGAAAAATCTGCAACATCAATTGCCCAGTTTACTGAAAGCACATTAATGAAAATGCTGTAGTAGAATTGAACGATATAAGATGAAGGCAAATCAGGACGTGCTCATAATTTGGTAGCAGTAAATTATTATTACTGAACGATGTTAGATTCAGTTCTAATCATGTTTAATCGCATATATCTGTAATATACTATTATTTAAGTATGTAAGGTGCTACAAGTCTAATTAGATTTTAATTTATAGTTTATAGTTATTTTTGAGATTAAGAGAAAGCAATCAGAACCATCTGTTAAGCTAGCATATATCAAACGACTAAGGAGTAAATTATTGCCAGATCAGAATTTCAAAAAGTATATATATAATCAGCCGCAGCAAATAAAATGCTATAATTAAGTTACTTTTATAGCCAAAAATTAAAATATGAATTCCAGAATATTTAAAAAGTAATTCTGTAACTGATTGTCAGTCCTCTGTGATGCTCTCGTGATTTATTGCTTTTGTTTTTACACCTGCAGTTTAAATTAGATTTCAAATTTTTTCCACCAATCCTTGCTCTCTCTTGTGCACTTATAAGTCTTTTTTATATTATTTTTCTCTAACAATAAGTAGTTCACGTACTATAATATCTCTCGTTGTCTATCCGCTCAGTGTCTTTTGGCTGCTATTACTGCCTTATTTCTTCGTGTACTGCTTTCCTTTGTCGTATGTTCTCATATGGCAAACGTTTATTAACGATAATCATGTTCCTAGATTTTACTCTCAAAAATTTGGTTCTAACTCACTTCGTACTTGGGAAAGCATAATTTTAGGTATATTCAAGTTTCCATATATTTTATTCTTGCAATTGTGCTTTTTTTTTTTTTAAATCTAGAGCTTTACATTAGACGAAAATTAAAAACGAGCTATTAGATCATACTCAATCTTTATTAATCATGATCAATTTTCATTTATGACTGACTTTTCAATCTTATTAATGATAATTTGAATTAAATCATTTATGACTGACTTTTCAATCTTATTGATGATAATTTGAATTAAATGCAGTGGATGGAATCATCCTTTCTAAGATTATTGATCTTGCAGTTATTTAGTAGGGAAAAAGTTCTCTTAGATAAATGATATTTAAATTCTCTCTGTATTTTAATAAATACTACATTCTAATTTTACCCTATTAATGAATTATGTTTTGAGGTTGCTGTTTGTGTGAGTATCATAATATAGAAGTGCAATGCTGCTCGTTGGAGAAGGAATGACAAGTATAGGCAAGCTGCGTATTGCTGTTAGCTGTTCAAGTAACATGAATAGAAGTATGGAAGCCCACAGTTTCTTGCAGTAATTTTTTTACCGATCTTTTGTCAGTGTTGCTTAACAATTCTTGCATATCAGCAGACTAAGATGACTTTTACAAGATATCATTGTTAATTTTCACAATGTGAAATTGGTCTGTCAATCCTTTTTTTATCTCTCTCGCTTGAATATGCATTATTTGCCTTGAAATTCAAATAAAGTTGGTATTTTCAAAAATATTTTAGGTATGTGTAAAAAAGTAATGGTTCTTCTTTGTAGCCTTTAGATTTACTTCACTTTTTTCTATAATTATCGCTTGATAATTATGACTGAAAAGTTGTGTCACTTCATTTTTATTTTAAATTTGTAAAATATAGCTTTTTCTTTTTTGCGAGTCGAAGACAGTAAATTTTATTCACTTTAACTAACGGAGCAATTTGAAATAATGTACGTGAATAAAGTTTGAAAAAATTTACACCTTGAAAATTTGTAGTAATGAAAAGTTAGAGTTGCAAATGACTAAACTGTATCATGGCAAAAAACGAGCTTCAAAACTTTACAGATTTGGAGGGTAAGTAAAAACTGATGCACAAACAGCCTAGAGTTGCAGGGATATTATGAAATATTGTTGCTACAGAATAAACTAAAGTAAGTGTTGTAGTGGAATACGGATGAGACGTGAAAGAAGGTGGAGAGAGATAAGCATAGGAAGGGATGACTTAGTTACTGTGAGTGTTAGAATTGTAGTTTTTTATTACAGAAAAAGAGGTTTTAATGTGGAATCCTTCGGATCCGGAAGTCAAGTTAAATTACCTGGTCCTACTCCCGATCGTCCAAATTGCTATGATTTTGGAGTGGCAACTTATGAATATATATATAACGATTTAAAGCAGAAGGATTCACAGTTGTATGTTTTATAAAAATCAATTTTAGTGGTTTTGGAAAACCAAGAAATATATCTTGTTAATTGTATGGTAAAGTTGTTTTCAGTCCTATATTTTACTGTTATTTCTTCAGATATACGCAAAATGGATTGCTAAATATGCTTGATCGTAATCGTAGAATAAAAGATATGCCGCAGAAATTTCAGCATTTTGAAGGAAAATTTGATGTAATAATATGTTTAGAAGAAAGGGTCTATGATCAGGTTAGGTTCAGTTTCTTGTCGATACTACCAAATTATGCGAAAGCTAATATCATTTATCTGTAAAATAAGATTATTAAGTGATGTATTTAGCTGTTTAAAATCATGTTCAATGATAGCTGGCTTCGTTAGAAGACTACAGTGCAATTATAACCGTATACAATGTAATATAAAATATGAAGCAGACCTAAGTGTTTGTAAATTTTCAGTTTGAAACACCTGTACGTAATATCTTGCTCTTAAGTGTCCTGAGTTAGCCATTTCGATGAATTATTTTACTGTTCTGTTTACTGCAAAATTTAGAATATAAGAACAGTTCCCAGTAATTTGTTGTTAGAATAAACATTATCTTTTTATCACAATTCCATATCATCATGATTTCTTTAGAACATTTGCTTTTACTCTGGAGTATTGCTGGAACTGTTCTTTTATACTGGAGTATTGCTAGAACTGAATTTTTTCATTTATTCAGTCAACATGAGTTGTTTTCTTTATTTTCAGGTAGTTGAAGATCTACAAACACGAGGGAGGAATGAGGGAGGGAATGTTCATGTGATAAACATTGACATTCAAGATAATCACGAAGAGGCAACAATAGGAGCCTTGTTTGTGTGCGATTTGTGCACAAAGGTATTACAAATTTTTAAACTCAGTTTCAGTGTAAGATATATTAAGAATTTTTTGGCAAATCATGTGGCTATTTTTGATGTTGTTTATTACAGTAGTAACTTTGAAAATTTTCAATTATATAGCGACGTAAGTTTTAATAAAGTTGTGATTTTTGATATGAAAACATTAGAAATCTTTTGAAGGACATTCTAAATATTGTTAATCGTATTTTCACATTGTCAGCAAAATGACTAATAAAAAAAGGTTCAAAACCAGTTGCTGATTGCTACTTAATTAAAATTCTCTCTCATTTCCTCAGTTCTGATGCATTAATTTAATCAAAAATTTTAATGTACTATGAGCCTTCTAAAAAAATATTTAAACTTCATGGTATGGAACATTATGAAACAGGCATTATTTTTTTAAGCACAAAATTTAAATAATGCTAATTAAAATAATAGAATAAAGTGTTCGTAGTTTTTCATTTAGTGCTGTATCATATGCTAGTTTCATTACTCCTTATTTTAAACCTATACGAAGAAAAGCTGTTTTATAGTTATAGTACTCTGTTATCATTTTATATACAGGGCTCATTATTTTAGTTGGAAGCTTGTGACGATTTGGATAATGATATTGATGAAGTGCTGACGGAATTTGAGCAAAATAATAGTAAACGAAATATTCTGCACACCATTTGTTTTTATTGAAAAAAGAAGACAATGGTGCATTTTGGCAAATGGTCTGGGTAGGATTTTATATTGCTTACTGCAATATGCTCGTGCTTACAGGCTTTTCAAATTGTAGTCTCGGCATTAAATTAAAATTAAAAAGATGGTAAAATATGTGAAAGTTTGCTGCTCGTCTCTTGATCACAGGATAATGCAAGATTTTTAGGTATTTTCAGTTTTATTTTAATTTTTTTTTTGTGTTGTGAAAAGTGTTAGTTTCGAAGTTGTAAAATGATGTAATGGAAGGCTCAATAGGGATGTAGTGAAGTTTTTAATTTTCTAGATTTGATTTCATTATAAACTCTCCTTATCGAGTCTACTTTTACTATAGTTTCAGTGATGTTGAAGTGATCATGTTGCACATATTCTAAATATGGGTTGTACTTTCCGGCTTCAATATGAAAAAAGATCTCATGTTTGACCTTTTCTCATCTTTTTTTAATTCAGTAAGATCAGGTAATTTATTAATGCATAATAATTAATTTTCTTCGATACCTTGATTAGTGTTGTCGTAAAATGAAAACGGTACATGCAGTGTTTTATTAATAAGCTGTAACTTTTAACTGGTTTATGAAGAGGACTGATTACCTTGATCACGTCTTTGTGAAATTTGTGAAAATTTGTTTCAAGTTTCCTCTTGTATTTGTCCGCAGTAATGTACTTAGAATCATATTTCAACGATTTGTTGTTGACCTAAGCATTGACATTAATAATTAACATCGTATGTTTTATTTGTTATAATCTATGTTTTTTTCTTTATGGTTCATATCTTATGTTTGATTTGTGTATATTGAAATGTTTGGTATTTTTATAATTTCTGTGTCAGTTTTCTATTTGCTTCTATTTTTCATTTTAAAAGTTTTAGATCATATATGTCTTATATTGTTGAAGTTTCCATTCCCTATTGCTCAAAGTTTCATATATTTATCACTTGTATGCATTAAAAATCTTATATTTTTTGGTCACAAATATTTTATGACAGAAATTAATCTTTGTTAATAATCTGTTAGCATTTTACAATATTTTGTCATTATTCAGGCTTATTTGTGCTTAATGGTAGTCTTTATACAGTTGATGCTGTAGTGAAAGATTGAACTTTTTTTATTCAGTTTATATTCAGTAATTAAGAAATTACTATTTTTTTATGATGAATTTTTTATTCATCTTTATATATATATATATCTTTATTAAGGACTGCTATGGGAGAAAATAATGAGGACACTATTATATGTAGGTTTTGGAAAAGCGTGCTTTCATTTTCAAGTTTTCTTTTGTATTTGTGTTGAATGATGTACTTATAATCATGTTTCAATTCTATTTTTTGATGTAATCTGGTAAGATGAAGTGAATTTTTTCTTTGCATAGCTGAATTTCATGGTAATCAGTCCCTAATGTTGTTCCTTAATTTATGAATGTACTGCGTTAGTTATCCAACACGTATTTTGTTCCCAACAGTAGTGAGTATCTGGGATACAGTTTGTTATGAAGCCAAACTATGAAGACTAGCATCAAAGAAGACGTCTTTCGATTGATCATGTATTATTTTTTGATTCCACACCATTTTTTTGGCAATATACGACTTCCTGAATGTCAAAAAGTTCAGGCAAGTTAGCTGATTAGCCTCACCTCCTTTACATACGTTTTGATTTTTATTTCCTATACCACAAAGGGATGAGAAAAGTTTACTTGTCATTGATGGCTATAGTGTGCATATGAGAATAGTAGGAATGCTAGTAATTGTTCTTGCTTTCTCTTTGTGTTATTACTACTAAAATGATTATTATCTTACTAGTATGTATGACGTCGCAGCATTTGTGGTGATAATAACACGTTATTGTTATCGTATCATCAGAAGTATTATTGGAGTAATTTTCCAGTTGTAAAGTAGCATTGAGAATATTTCGAAGCAAAGAAATAAAATATTTGAATTACTTGCTGAAAACAGCTGATACTTTGGTAACAACAAATTAATTTCACGAAAAAAGCAATAATCGTTCTTCAACTTCAATATAAGACTTATTCATCAAAGCCTTTCCGAGTTTTTAGTTGTAAAAAGGTGTTGATTTCCCTTGCTAACAATTGAGAATCAACGTTTTGTTTGCGTGTTGGTATGAGGGAATGTTTTGCCATCTTAAGCTGGTACAAAACAAATAACACTATTATAGACCACCATACTTCTGAGATACTGTTCAAATATGACACCTAAATAATGTAATGGTGCTAAGGCTGGAAATTAAATAATCGTTGGTTTTTAGTACTTTTTGTAAGGTAAAATCAGCCACTTTTTGCTTGAAAATATTTAAAAATGCTTTTCACTATCTTCGGAATATTTGCGTGTCTGTTAGCTGCGTTTACAATTAATTTTATATTCAGAAATATTGCAAAAATATTTTACAATTTATTCAGTTAAATTTACTTCTAAGTAAACATTTTATTCATTATATTTTTCAAACAGAATTTTTTAATTATACTTTTGATTACGTTCTGTAATTTGCTAATATTACACAATGATATGTTTATATTTTTATCAATTAATTTTTTCAATAAAAAGTGTTCTGATATATTTTACGTAAATTTAGTCAAAGTATTTAACTTTTTTTTCCTCTTTGAAAATGAATTTGTGTTATCAGTAACTGCACTGTTACTAAAGTAATAGCCAGTAAATCAATAACAAAAGTTTATTTTTGCTTCATCACAAACTTTGATCACATTAATTTATTCTATAATGCTTTGTAATTCAATATCATTTGCATTACTTTTAATTAAAGACATTTTAATAATCTATTTAATGAAATGTAGAAAAAACAAAACAAGTCTTTATTATATTAGATTTGTTAAAAGAAAAAAATCTTTTGAAGGATTTATATTTTAGCAAATAGCTGACTTTATATTTGGAAATTTTAATTAAAAAATGATAAAATTAAATACAGATGAATTATAAGATTCAATAACAATTAATTGCAGCCATTGTGATTTTAGAAATTAAATAGAAATTAAAGTTATTATGATTTTAGAGTTAATTTTAAATTGATTATACAGATACAGAAATATTCATGAGCTATATTATATTGAATTTAATCATCTATTGAGTGAATTAACATTTAACAAGAAACGAAATAGTCAAATTTTCAAAATTTCATCAACTACTATTATTAATCAAGCAAAAAGATTAGAACAACTTATTGTATTTCGAGTTTATAATAAATTGTTTTGAATTAAAATTTCATTTCGTTTGTATTTTACTAGCAATTTTAAATTAATTGACATATTACAAATAGCTGTTTTACTATACTGAAAATAAAAAATATTTGGCTTAAATTTCATATAAATTAAACGTGAAAATTTTAAGACGTTAATTTGTTTTCCAATTCTTCGAGAAAGCGGTTGCTTGGTTTGTGTATCGATATCTATTAATCAGTCATTTTTGCAAGTATCACTTATTGATAAAGTGCGTTCAATTAAATATTTTTTTAAATAAAATCTGATTTACTTTTTTATATTCTTTTTTTTTTGCATAATTATAATAATAAAACATTTTTTTATATTTTTATTTAAATAAAATTATTGATTAAAAACTGAATTTAGTTATTATTTAATATCTAAATTAAATAAACTTATTTTGAGTATTATGACTTACTTAGTTATGACATTTTGATGTGATTAAAAATGAATAAATTAAAAAATTTTTTTATATGTAAGTTTGCTCGCATATATGGTGGGTGTTTTGTACTTTGCAAAACAATAAAACGCAACTAATTATTATAGATTTTTTTAGGACATTTTCGCAAGTACACATTGACTTGACTGACTGACTGACTGACTGACTGACTGACTGACTCATATACTAAACATCTGAAAGTAATCAACAACATTAAGTGAAAAAAAAAATTTTTATTTTCATCGCTATGATAGCTTTTTTTATTTAACCAAAATTTAAAATTGCGAATTTTCATTATAATAATATTTAAGTAAGCTTTTTTTTTTTAAAGCATAAGATAATATAGTAAAGTAAGATTGATTTATGTAGAATTTTTATGCTTTTTTTATATCAATAAGTGACACTTTACTTTTTTTCAAATGCTTTTAATAACAATATCTTATTTATGATAAGGAATTAATTAATTTTTAGTACTTAATTAGACAAAAATTAGAATACATTGCATATCATTTTATTTCTTTTTTGATTTCTAATCGACCATGACTAAATTTTTTTTACTAATGTTTAAGAAAGCTTCAGTGATGAGAGCCAGCCAGTTTAGTTTTTGCATGGTTCTTGCTATCAGTTAACAATTTATCATTAAATTTATACATTTGGGTTGGGCTGAAATTTTTCCAAAAATAAACGAATTTATTTTCGTAATGCTAAATTTTTGACTTATTTAAGCGTAAAAAAAATTGTGTGCAAATTTATCTTTCAATAATTTTTTATTCATTCATTCACTTCGCAACTTTTCGCAAATCAGTTGTTAGCTTGTGCTTGCAAAAGAATTTTAGTTATTATTGGAAGTATTTTATTAAAATTTTAATCATTTGTGAAAAGTTTAGGATAGATAGATAGGTAGATAGATAGATAGATAGATAGATAGATAGATAGATAGATAGATAGATAAATAGATATAGATAAATGATTATTTGCAGTGTTTGCTTGGTGAAACAATTATTCATGCAGTACATTTATTTATTTTAAATTCATTCACTTGAACTCCATCAGTTCAAGTGATCAATTTCAAATTCTTTTAAATAGTCATTTGCTTTATCATATTTAACCAAGTGATTACGGTAAACGGCTGTAATATTCCAAAAGCAAAAAGCATTAAAAAATTGCAAAATGTTTTTTAAAAGAAATTTGATGATATTTTTGAATTTTAGAGTTTATTATCGTTATTTACAAGCCTAAAATTTTGGCTTGTTGATTATAGAATGTTTCAAATTTTGGAAAAATTTTAAACTTTCAATTTTAGCAAATAATTCAGAAGTTTTCAGAAGTGCTGTGATTTAAATGAAAGTATTTGAATGGTATTCACTGTGTGCTTCGAGTTTATATAGAATTATATTGTATGTTATTATGCTTTTAAAAGTCTTTCAGTACTAAATTTGCTAATTAAATTAATAATTTATTTCGGTTTCTAATTTTGATAACCAAATTATTATATAGTTGTCATCTATAATCACTTAATATACTCTTTACTGTTCATAATACATTTCAAATAACAAACGAAAAGCAAAAATGGAAATATTGAAGTAGTGAGAATAGCATAGAGTGAATAGAGATTTTTATGGAAAAAGTATTAAGTTAACGCATTTTATCCGATGCGTTATCTTAATTGTGCACACATTTTGCTTTTTAACAAGTTCATAACATACCAATTTTACGCAGTAAATGATAAGTAATGTAAAGCAAAAATAAGTTGACCTTTATTATCATTTATTTACGTGCGTAGATGAGACGATACATAATTTTTATTCACGCCTGCGCACAATTGTTATTTTCCAAGAAATGCTTATCACATTTAGAGCAGAATGATTAGCGTTAGTAATATTTTTTTGAGATCAAATACTCTTATCCATACTTGACCTTTCCATATCAGTTTTTTGCAATATTTTGTAAAATAACGAGTTTATAATTCAAAAATTCCTTTACTCGCAATGGAATATTGAAAACAAAAAATTTTCAATTACTGTTTTGTTAAAAAAAAATTCTTATCACAAGTTTACATTACTAGTTATTACTTGTATTACTTTCAAAGTGAATCATAACATATGATAAAGGTTATCAAAGAAGAAAAAGCACTATCACTTCAATTCTTTCAGTATTGATTTCCTTCACTGCAATTTCTAAAAATTCATAGTTTATTCATAATTAAACGATTTTTTAATCATTACTTCCGAATAATAATTTATTTTTTACACGTTTCTCAAGCACAAGTGTAATTCCTGACCTTCAATGTCATTTCAATGTTTTGTCACAGTCACAAAATTGATACGATCCTTTAAAAGATTAAAATATCAATAATACAAAAAATAAAAAAATTGCTTTTTTAATAAAATTAATTATAGTTTTAAGAAAAAATTTTATTTTATATATCAGTAAAATGAATAAAGTAATTCATTTTTATGACGCTGCAAAAATTATGGTGCAAAGTTCAATCTCTTAAAAGTTAAGAAAAAGTAATTTTATTTTTTAGAGACAATAAAAATTATAATCTGCTTAAATTTAGAGAGATTAAATGCATATCGAGACAATATTTTTTTGTTCATTTCTTCATTGCCATTCCTCATTTTGTATGCCACTGAGCCTTCAGTTCTGATTCATTACAATTTAGATTATCTTTATTATCTAATATAAAATTTTTTCAATTTATTCTACTTTGTCAATCATAATTTAGATTGTTCTATCACTGATAATTGTTTTCAGAGATTACTACGATTGTTGAGATGCATTGACAATGCAGAATTCAGCAGCACAAATGATTGATGATTCTTCTGATAGCGATGATGATTTTGGTCCTTCACAACGTATAGATATTTCATATTGAAAATAGCATAATTATAACTTTGTTTGTATTTGTTTAAAAAATTTTTCTAAAATTAATATCAAAAGTTAAAAATATGTACAGAAGTTTCCACTTTTAATTGTTAAGTAATGAAGTTTGTACAAGAGTAATAATAGTTCAGATAAGCAAGATATGCAATTGGAAAAATTAGAAAATCAGCCTTTTCATCGAAGAACTCGAAAAGAGCCACAGAAATTTAATGAAAATCAACTCAAATCTGTATGAATTTATTTTAGTTTATTATTTGTACAGCAATTTTGCAACTTTTCTCAGATTTTAGTAAAATAAATTTCGCTGATTTAATTTGATACTTTTATTAATTTAATTTAGCATTGTTGCTAAAAGCATCATTTAAAATCAGCGAGCTAAAAGATTGCAAAGTCAGTTTTTATGGGTTAATGAGAATAATAAATATAAATTAAGCAAATTGATTAGTAATTTTTTGCTTTTCTGTTTAAAAGTTAGCAAATTTCTCACATAGTGATTACTTTCTTAAATTTTTTATTGGTTTTGCAGAATTTGTTGCATTTACTAAAGTCATTAGACTACGATATTGACGAAAATGCTGAAATAGAAGATGCTGTTAATATTAGTCTCGAAATTTTTGCCCCAATATGGAGAAAACGAGATTCTGAGTCAGAAATTGCTTTTCAGGCAAATGATTTAAACTTTTTTCTAATTTACTACTATAATATTTGAAATTTGAATTAAATTGATAGTATTTTTTCAGGGTTTGCTTACTATTCTCGAATACTGCTTAGAAAATTCAACAGCATGCTATTTGTGCTTTGAAAAATTTATCAATGCTCTTGGTTATAATACAGTACATTTTTGGCGATATGCAGTACCATATATTTATGATTCCGATCTAACATACGGTACTAAATTTCGTGATTCGCTGTTATTCAGCTTAACTCTGTTTGATGTAAGCAATGCAAGAAATAAATTGAGGTATGTA